CCACAGTGCTCTCTGGATATTAGGGCTGGGCGGTTTCGTTTCGTTAATTCGTAATTCGTTAATAATTCGTTAATTTTTTAATTACAAAACGATAACGAACCATTCTGGAGCAATTTTTTAAAAAAACGAATTTTTAACGTTTTGTAAATGCTTCGTATTTCGTTATTGTATTCGTTTCGTTATTGTTTTGAGGTCGTTTCGTTATTATTTCCGCATGTCTGGGCCAGTTTTATGGTTTAATTAGTGAAAAAAAATTATCATATCACACCAACAGTCAACAACAGAGGGAGAGGGAAGCTTCAGAAGGTTTTGGAGGTTTTTTAGCGTATTTCGCGGTCGCGTCCGCCATTAACGAATCGATTCGTTATTGTTTCGGAAATCGATTCGTTAATTTTTTACCATTTACGAAATTTCGTAAATATCGAACTTTTTAAAAGGAAAATTTTGTAATTATTTTAAATATTGAAACAAAAAAAACCCCCAAATACAAATCGATTTTAGAAACAAATTTTTCCGTTGTTACCAAGGCCTCTCTGGATATAGGTGAACTACAACTCCCAAACTCAAGGTCAATGCCCATCAAACCCTTCCAGTGTTTTCCATTGGTCATGGGAGCCAAGTTTGGTTCAAATCCATCGCTGGTGGAGTTCAGAATGCTCTTTGATTATAAGTGAACTATAAATCCCAGCAACTACAACTCCCAAATTACAAAATCAATCCTCCCCCAACCCCACTAGCATTCACATTTGGGTGTATTGGGTATTTGTGCCCAGTTTGGTCCAGTGAATGAAAATGCATCCTGCGTATCAGATATTTACATTACTATTTATAGCAGTAGTAAAATGACTGTTATGAAGTAGCAACGAAAACAATGTTATGGTTGGGGGTCACCACCACATAAGGGACTGTATTAAGGGGTCGCGGCATTAGGAAGGTTGAGAACCACTGCTTTAGGGAAACTATCAACTGAAAGAGGGACAAAAGACGGAGTCTCACGCTTTCCCCTCTTTTCTGCAGGCATTCACGTTTTGACACTTGCCTCATTACCTGCTGGCAACGTGTCAAAGCCTCAAGAAACAAAGATTTCTTTCTCCTGAACAGTAGAGAGATAGATCCCTCTGCCTTTGGCATATTCTCAAAATGTGTTTTGGAAACACAGAGGGAAGAGCGGATTATTTCCGTGCCTTGTTTATATAGCATCCGCCCATTGGCTCAGGTACAGGTGAGGTACAGGAAGGAATCCCAGTGGATTTCAAAACGAGGCACGGTGTTGTGGCCATTTTGTTGCATGTTCCCAGCCATTGCAGTTCCTTCTTCAGCAAAGAGTGGGCACTGAATCACTGGCCGCTGCCAAGGGCCGGAGGAAAATGCCATTCACACACCAGTGCATTTTGGAAGTCAGAGGAAAAGCAAGAGTTGTGTGCAATACATTAAAGACACAGAGCAAGCCTAACACAATTTGCTGCCTGGGGTAAAGGACATCCCGTCGTCCTCGTTCCAAATTTAGTTTAGTACTAGCTGCACTTCCCACGCGTTGCTGTGGCCAACCTTCCCTCCCTCTTTCCTTCCTTCCCTCTTTTTCTTTCCCTTCTTCTTTCTTCCTTCTCTATCTGTTTCTTTTCTCGCTTCCTTTGCTCTTTGGTTCCATCCTTCCTTGTCTCTTTCCTTCCTTCCTTCCTTCCTTCCTTCCCTTCCTTCCTTCCTTCCTTCCTTCCTTCCTTCCTTCCCTCCCTCCCTCCTTCCTCCCTCCCTCTCTCCCTCCCTCCCTTTCCTTCCTTCCTTCCTTTTCCTTCTCTCCTTCCTCCTCTCTCCCCCCCCCCCCCCTCCTTCTTTCTTCCTTCCTTCCTTCCTTCCTTCCTTCCTTCCTTCTACCTTTCCTCCTTTCCCTCTTTTTCCCCTCCTTCTCTCCTTCCTTCTCTCTCTCTTCCCTCTTCTTTCCCTTTTTTATTTCCTTCTCTCTTCCTTCCTTCTTCTCCTTCCTCTTCTTCCTCTTTTCTTCCTCCTTCCTTCCTCTCTCTTCCTTCCTTTCCCTCTTTTTCTCCTCTTCTCTTCCTTCCTTCTTCTTCCTTCTTTCACTTTTTTATTTCATTCTCTCCTTCTTCCTTCTCTACCTTTCTTTCTTTCCTTCCTTCTTTCCCTCTTTCTCTCCCTCCTTCTCTCCTTCCCCCTTTCTGTGTATATGTGTTCTGTGTGTGTATGTGTGTATATATTTGTGTATATATGTGTGTTTGTGTATATATGTGCTTTTGCACATGCAAAAATAATAAATAAATATATTAATTTTTAAGTGTGTTTTTCTGTGTTTTTCTGAGTGATGGTCACTCGTTGGCCCGAGAGGTGTCTTGTGTCCAAATTTGGTGTCAATTCGTCCAGTGGTTTTTGTGTTATGTTAATCCCACAAACAAACATTACATTTTCATTTATATAGATTGGTGATGAAATAATGCTTTGTTCCACAGCCAATGAAGCAGGAAAGTTTGGAGAGCTCCAAGGTCACATCTGCCTCCAGAGAAAGACTCGTTGGGATGTGACAAGGACAAGAGAGAAGATGCTCCCATTGCCTTCACATCATGTACCAATGGGTAGGATGACTATAGCCCAAGCTTGGGCAAACCTAAGAGGCTGAGGGAGGAAAGGAAAGGGCCTGAGGCTGTTAGGAATGGTGGGACTTGAAGTCCAAAACATCCGGAGGGAGGGCCAAAGTTTGCCCAGGCCTGCTATAGCCCCATATCCACGGCCATACAATCCACTTTCAGAATGCAAATTAACTGCATTGGATAGGTGGAATCAGGTGTCAAACAGGGTTGTGTTATTGTCCCAACCTTATTCTCCATCTTCATCGCTATGATACTTCACCTTGTTGATGGGAAGCTTCCCACCGGAGTGGAAATCATCTATCGGACAGATGGCAAGCTATTCAACCTCAGCGGACTAAATGAAAGCCAAAACCAAGGTTACAAGAGCATCTGTTATAGAACTCCAGTATGCTGATGACAACGTCATCTGCGAGCATTCAGAAGAAGATCTACAAGCCGCTCTAAACACCTCTGCAGAAGCATACAAGAAGCTCGGCCTGTCATTGAACATCGAGAAAACCAAAGTGCTATTCCAGCAGACACCAGCCAATCCCTCTCCAATGCCAGAAATACAGCTTAATGGTGTAACATTAGAAAATGTTGACCATTTCCACTCCCTTGGCAGCCACCTCTCCACCAAAGTCAACATCGACACCGAAATACAACACCGCCTGAGTTCTGCGAGTGCAGCATTTTTCCGAATGAAGCAGAGAATGTATCCGTAGGGATACCAAGGTGCTTGTTTATAAAGCTCTTGTCCTCCCAACCCTGCTCTATGCCTGCGAAACGTGGACTCTCTACAGACGTCACATGCAACCCCTGGAACGATTCCATCAGCACTGCCTCCGGAAATTCCTGCATGCATATCTCTTCCGAAGACAAGCAGACAAACGTCAGCATGCTGGAAGAAGCAAAGACCACCAGCATTGAAGCAATGGTCCTCCGCCATCAGCTCCTCTGGACCGGCCACGTTGTCCAGATGCCTGACCACCATCTCCCAAAGCAGTTGCTCTATTCCGAACTCAAGAACGGAAAACAGAATGTTGGAGGAAGAAGCAAAGACCACCAGCATTGAAGTGATGGTCCTCCGCCATCAACTCCTCTGGACCAGCCATGCCGTCCACCTTCTGGATCCCTCTTTGTGATGGAGGAGTAACCCAGAAGTTTTTAAGATCTTTACTCAACGCAACCATAAGCTTTTTATGCCAGTATTTTACTGAAACCATTAAGCATTTGTACCTGAATATTTCAAGCCTGTTCAAGAAACATTCTTGTTATTTTTATCAACTTATACCAGCCTCAGTGTGAATACCTTTGTGGTCAAAGCCTTATTAAAGTCAGTTTTCAGCAGCCTCTAAGAAAAATATAGTGACACAGAGTGTGTTACTGAACAAACTCTCAACATAAACTCAGCCTGTTTATTATTAATTTGACTGAGCAGCGTTGGGATTATTTTACATATATTTCCCTGTATATAAATTTAATTTAAAATCTTCTCTACTACCTGCTGCGTTCGTTATAATTTGTGCCCCAAGAAAGCCCAAAGTTTAATCCCATTGAGTTTCCGTCTGAGAGAACACAGGTGGACATTGTGAGAAAAGAGAGGATTGGAGTAGAGAAGACCCCAGAGACTGACATCAGTGATAATATGGAGGACTTGCAGAGACATTTACCAGGCGCACAGTCTAAGCGTCAGACGACAGACCAATTGAGACAGAAGAAGCAGGCAGATCTCCATCTCTTTGTGATGGAGGAGTGGAATGGGTTGGTAATGTTAAGAATATGTGTGTGTTTTGATTAACTATATTGTAATTTTCAAAGTTAGTGTTTGTGTGATTAGAAATGTAATGCTTTGTAATGCAATGTTCCAGAGATTGTAATTCCTGTGTGGAAAGGGTTAACTGTATCATGAAGGAGGAGTCGTAAATTTCAGTGTGGAAAGTGTTGTACGCTGTGTTGCGCCGTACGTCATACGTCATCTCGTCACTGTGGAATGTAAGGAGATGCCTAATTCTAGATTACAACGAAAAACCGAACCATGTAACCGAACCATGTAGCCACTCGAGATATTTCTTGTTCTGCTTAGCTTCTAGTGTAAATATTATTTTAGTTTTGTGTTAAATAAAGTAGCTTTAGTTCAAGAAGATGTGTTTCAGTGCCTTGTGTGTGCTGAAATCGTCGCCATTCCATTGTCAGGTAATTTGCCCCAATACTTTGCACACACATACACACACAAACACTAAACTGGGTTAATTAATCACTAGGCTTGTTATCACATGCAACTCCTAGAACAATTCCATCCGTGTGTCCTAGGTTAGATGTTATGAATCTAGGTTGATTGACTTGGCATAAGACTTCCTACATTTTCAAAGCTGATGTTGCGCTTTAAAGAACGACCTTTGCCACGACGCGAAGACCACTGACCTTCTCCAGTTTCTCAAAGTGTTCCCGCAAGAACTTCATTGGCCGGTCGGGTTTGGCAATACAGAGGTTCACGATGCACTCCTTCAGGATCTGCTGGATGTTGTGCTTCTGGACGTAGAGCTCGCACCCCTTCAGGCTCTCGTCGTCTTCCAAGTTGCAAGAGGAGGAAGTGGCCATTGTTGGGATTGTAAATAAGCAACAAACCTAGACAAAGGAATAAAAAGTGCCATGTTGATGAAAGAGTTCAGGTGTAAAACACAAGACATTTCTTAAAATACAGACAGTCAGGAACAAGAGCAGTTCTATGTATTGTCGAAGGCTTCCATGGCCGGAATCACTGGGTTGTTGTAGGTTTTTCGGACTATATGGCCATGTTTCAGAAGCATTCTGTCCTGACGTTTCACCTACATCTATGGCAGGCATCCTCAGAGGTTGTGACCTCACAACCTCTGAGGATGCCTGCCATAGATGGAGGCGAAACGTCAGGAGAGAATGCTTCTGGAATATGGCCATAAGCAAACCTTTGGAGATTAATATTATTGTCGCACCTCAGAGTAGATTCACCTTGCTGAAAACACCAAACTTCACACAGCCAGAAGTCTTTATAGTTTATTAAAAATAAAAGGTAAAAAGTTCTTAAAAGCAAAGGTAATGTTCCAAAAAATCAATATAAAATAGCACTTTGAAGAATAATCCAAAAAGGCACCAACAAAGCAAAAACCCAAGAGAAGATGACAAAGTCCTGAAAACATGAACATAAGAACTGCAAGATAATCCAGACAAGCAAAGGCAAGCTTCTTGGTTAAACGAAAAGTTGCTTTGACAAAGGTTTGGTCTCAAACACACTGCTTAATATCCTTTGCAAAACATGAAGGCGTTTCTTTGGCCTCTGGCCTCCTTCTTGTTAGCTATTCTCACACTCCTTCGAACTCTGAATTCCAAATGGTCAGCCCGATCTAAGGTTCCCATTTCGTCAAGGTCAGTCTGTTCGTTAGTGTCAGCCTGTTTCCCTGCTTGCTCATTATCAGGCTGAGAACTGTTCTCCTTCTCTGAGTCAATCTGCACCTGGCTGTTTTCAGTATCAACCCTCTTTGCTGTGGGGAACTGTACTTCTTCACTGTCTATAACAGAGACATTTTGAACCAGACTGTGAACCTGAGTCCCATCATCCTCATCAGAGACACTCTGAGTGGTTCCAGTTTGTTCCTAAATTGACAGATTAGAGAGATGGGCCAAAACTAACAAAATGAAGTTCAACAGTGACAAATGCAAGATACTCCACTTTGGCAGGAAAAACGAAATGCAAAGATACAGAATGGGGGATGATGAGGCCTGGCTCGAGAGCAGGACGTGTGAAAAAGATCTTGGAGTCCTCGTGGACAACAAGTTAAACATGAGCCAGGAATGTGATGTGGCGGCAAAAAAAGCCAATGGGATTTTGGCCTGCATCAATAGGAGCATAGTGTCTAGATCTAGGGAAGTCATGCTCCCCATGCTCTATTCTGCCTTGGTTAGACCACACCTGGAATATTGTGTCCAATTCTGGGCACCACAATTCAAGAGAGATATTGACAAGCTGGAATGTGTCCAGAGGAGGGCAACTAAAATGATCAAGGGTCTGGAGAACAAGCCCTATGAGGAGCGGCTTAAGGAGCTGGGTATGTTACCCTGAAGAAGAGAAGGCTGAGAGGAGACATGATAGCCATGTATAAATATGTGAGAGGAAGCCACAGGGAGGAGGGAGCAAGCTTGTTTTCTGCTTCCTTGGAGACTAGGACGCAATGGAACAATGGCTTCAAACTACAAGAGAGGAGATTCCATCTGAACATGAGGAAGAACTTCCTGACTGTGAGAGCCGTTCAGCAGTGGAACTCTCTGCCCTGGAGTGTGGTGGAGGCCCCTTCTTTGGAAGCTTTTAAACAGAGGCTGGATGGCCATCTGTCAGGGGTGATTTGAATGCAATATTCCTGCTTCTTGGCAGAATGGGGTTGGACTGGATGGCCCAGGAGGTCTCTTCCAACTCTTTGATTCTATGATTCTATGATTCTCTGTAAGTCATAATAGGCACATCTTGAAGTGTAACTCCAGCCAAATATATATCTATGTATGTGTATATGTGGCTGGGTTGTCCATTTACACAGAAAGGCTCCCACCTCCATAAACAGCTATATCTCCCACGACTCAGGAGACACCAATGGCCCTCCCTCCAATGACATTGCAGGTTATCGCGAGCGCCGTGAACATCTGTAAGAGCCTGCCAATGACCTCCACAAACACCACACTGCCCGTCACTCAAAAGAAAGCTTTCACATGGGGACAATTACATCCTAGTCAGTGGTTCTCAACCTGTGGGTCCCCACTTGTTTTGGCCTACAACTCCCAGAAATCCCACCCAGTTTACCCAGTTTGCCATCTGTTAGGATTTCTGGGACCCACAAGTTGAGAACCAATGTCCTAGATTTTATGTGTTTCCTACACCACAAGCATCCCAGTGTTTCCAACTCTCTCCATTGGTGTGGAATTTGCATGACCCCGCCCACTGCCTCTCCCTTAACCCTTTCCTATTCTTTTCTAGGATAGTTTTGATGACGTGGTGAATTAATTAGAACCAGACATCCTGAGGAGTGAAGTTGAATAGGCCCTAAGAAGCATTGCTAACAACAAGGCAGCAGGAGATGACGGGATCCCAGCTGAACTCTTGGCAAGGACCTAACAGAAGCTGAAGAGATCAAGAGAAGGTGGTGAGACTTATACGGAAGATCTGTATAGGAAGGATAATAATATTGACGATAGTTTTGATGGTGTGGTGAGTGAATTAGAACCAGACATCCTGAGGAGTGAGGTTGAATGGGCCTTAAGAAGCATTGCTAACAACAAGGCAACGGTAGATGACGGGATCCCAGCTGAATTGTTATTTTAAAATAGTTTTTATTAAGTTTTCAAAAATACAGTATTAAAAAACACAGATGATAAATTAAGAAAGAAAAGTACCCAGGGCTGAAAGCATCCTTGTGCCAGGACATTCCTCATCCCCCCAATTAACCAATCAATCAATCAATCAATCAATCAATCAAGGCCTTGGGTACCCAGCACTGAAAGCATCCTTGTGCCAGGACATTCCTCATCCCCCCAATCAACCAACCAACCAACCAATGCCTTGGGTACCCAGGGTTGAAAACAACCTTGTGCCAGGACATCCCTCATCCACCCAATCAACCAATCAACCAATCAATCAGTCAGTCAGTCAGTCAATCAAGGCCTTGGGTACCCAGCACTGAAAGCATCCTTGAGCCAGGACATTCCTCATCCCCCCAATCAACCAACCAACCAACCAACCAACCAACCAACCAACCAATGCCTTGGGTACCAAGGGCTGAAAACATCCTTATGCCCTGATGTTCCTCGTCCCCCCAATCAACCAAACAACCAACCAATCAATCAATCAATCAGTCAATCAAGGCCTTGGGTACCCAGGGCTGATAGCATCCTTGTACCAGGACAATCGTCATCCCCCCAATTAACCAATCAATCAATCAATCAATCATTCAATCAAGGCCTTGGGTACCCAGCACTGAAAGCATCCTTGTGCCAGGACATTCCTCATCCCCCCAATTAACCAATCAATCAATCAATCAATCAATCATTCAATCAAGGCCTTGGGTACCCAGCACTGAAAGCATCCTTGTGCCAGGACATTCCTCATCCCCCCAATTAACCAATCAATCAATCAATCAATCATTCAATCAAGGCCTTGGGTACCCAGCACTGAAAGCATCCTTGTGCCAGGACATTCCTCATCCCCCCAATCAATCAATCAATCAATCAATCAATGCCTTGGTTACCCAGGGCTGAAAGCATCCTTGTGCCAGGACATTCCTCATCCCCCCAATCAATCAATCAATCAATCAATCAATGCCTTGGTTACCCAGGGCTGAAAGCATCCTTGTGCCAGGACATTCCTCATCCCCCCAATCAATCAATCAATCAATCAATCAATCAATGCCTTGGTTACCCAGGGCTGAAAGCATCCTTGTGCCAGGACATTCCTCATCCCCCCAATCAATCAATCAATCAATCAATCAATCAATGCCTTGGTTACCCAGGGCTGAAAGCATCCTTGTGCCAGGACATTCCTCATCCCCCCAATTAACCAATCAATCAATCAATCAATCATTCAATCAAGGCCTTGGGTACCCAGCACTGAAAGCATCCTTGTGCCAGGACATTCCATCAATCAATCAATCAATCAATCAATCAATCATTCAATCAAGGCCTTGGGTACCCAGCACTGAAAGCATCCTTGTGCCAGGACATTCCTCATCCCCCCAATCAATCAATCAATCAATCAATCAATGCCTTGGTTACCCAGGGCTGAAAGCATCCTTGTGCCAGGACATTCCTCATCCCCCCAATCAATCAATCAATCAATCAATCAATGCCTTGGTTACCCAGGGCTGAAAGCATCCTTGTGCCAGGACATTCCTCATCCCCCCAATCAATCAATCAATCAATCAATCAATCAATCAATGCCTTGGTTACCCAGGGCTGAAAGCATCCTTGTGCCAGGACATTCCTCATCCCCCCAATCAATCAATCAATCAATCAATCAATCAATCAATCAGTCAGTCAATCAAGGCCTTGGGTACCCAGCACTGAAAGCATCCTTTTGCCAGGCTTCTCTATGGAGAGAGGGAGGACATTCCTGCATGCCACCCCCTCCCCTGGCCTCCATCAGCAACAGCCTTTTGTGCTGCCGAGCTCCATCCTTCCCAGCCATGGTGGGCTGCCTGGGAAGAAGCACAAAGGGATGGAGAGCCGAGTCTCGAGTGGGGAGCGCATCAGATGTGTGGCAGCATGTATACATACCTGGGTGGTTGTATCCGAGACAATCAGCCAGAGCAGCAGTCAAGGGAGCAGCCTTGGCCTCTTCCTCTTTGCGCTCCCGTTATTCCGCAGTGCAGCCTCCTCTTCCTCCTCTTCCTCCTCCAATGGCCAAGCTGGATTCTGGTGGGTTCTCCCCCTGGGCACCCCACTTCCTGCTAATCTCCAAAGGAAGGGGGAGAAGAGGGGGCAAGCCTTCCCCCAGCCCCAGATGTCTCGGCAGCGGTGTCTCTCTCTCCGCCACTCCGGATTTGGCACTCCTTGCACACCAAGCTGCCGGAGTTTTGCACACACAGGGAGGCCCTGCCACTGTCACTCAGGAGCAAGCTCAGCCTCCCTCTTCCTCCTGGAAAGAGGAAAACACACACAGAGAGAGACAGAACGACACACACAGCATCCTATGGGATTCTGGCCCTTCAGAAAGGCATCCTTACCTGCATTCACTCACTCGCTCACCTGCGAGCTCAGTCTCTTCTACTCAAAAGGTCTTGGAATAATAAGTAAATTGTTCTGGTAGGAGTTGTACAAAAATTAGTAGGATTTATTATTAACCAGCCATCCCCTGCCAGGCGTTGCGGTGGCCCAATCTGGTGATCTGAAAAATAAAGTAATGATGAAGTATTGGTTTCTAATATATGTAATTTCTTTCTGCTTGTGGGTAAACAGTATTCCTCGTTAGGTTCTTGTGGGTTTTTTCGGGCTATAGGGCCATGTTCTAGAGGCATTTCTCCTGGCGTTTCGCCTGCATCTATGGCAAGCATCCTCAGAGGTAGTGAGGTCTGTTGGAATTAGGACAATGGGTTTGTATATCTGTGGAATGGCTGGGGTGGGGCAAAGAGCTCTTGTCTGCTGGAGCTAGGTTTGAATGTTTCAACTGACCTAGCAAAACAGCAGATGGAAAACAATCAGGGACATCTAATCACCTCTCAACAAAAGATTGCCCCAGCGGTTCACAACCAATAAAAACAGCAATAATTCAATGCAATAATGTAACAACAATTAACAATTTAACATATTACCCAAACAATAAACAATTACTACATTAACCAGGTTCTTGTGGCTTTTTTCGGGCTATAGGGCCATGTTCTAGAGGCATTTCTCCTGATGTTTCGCCTGCATCTATGGCAAGCATCCTCAGAGGTAGTGAGGTCTGTTGGAAGTAGGACAATGGGTTTATATATCTGTGGAATGGCTGGGGTGGGGCAAAGAGCTCTTCTCTGCTGGAGCTAGGTGTGAATGTTTCAACTGACCACCTTCATTAGCATTTGAAGGCCTGGCTGAGCCTGGGAAAATCTTTTGTTGAGAGGTGTTAAGATGTGCCTGGTTGTTCCCTCTCTGCTGTTTTGCTGTTGTAATTTTAGAATTTTTTAATACTGGTAGCCAGATTTTGTTCATTTTCATGGTTTCCTCCTTTCTGTTGAAATTGTCCACATGCTTGTGGATTTCAATGGCTTCTCTGTGTAGCCTGACATGGTGGTTGTGAGAGTGGTCCAGCATTTCTGTGTTCTCAAATAATCTGCTGTGTCCAGGCTGGTTCATCAGGTGCTCTGCTATGGCTGACTTCTCTGGTTGAAGGAGTCTGCAGTGCCTTTCATGTTCCTTGATTCGTGTTTCGGCTTGATGCTGCGTTTGGTGGTCCCTCTGTAGACTTGTCCACAGCTGCATGGGACACGGTAGACTCCTGCAGAGGTGAGAGGATCCCTCTTGTCCTTTGCTGAACGTAGCATTGGTTGGATTTTCTTGGTGGGTTTGTAGATTGTTTGTATGTATGTAATTTCTTTCTGCTTGTGGGTAAACAGTATTTCTTGCTGTTTCTTTGTCAGTGTTGATGTGGAGAGTGTCTGGTTTGCCCACCCTGGAACATGCAACATATCATTGTCCTTCTTTAGGGGTCCCTTTCAAATCTATGATACTATATCTGTCATATACATATGTGTGTGTGTGTGTGTGTGAATCATATCTATCTATCTACAACTATGGTTAGCATGGCTCTTTGCCAGGAGGGCTTTCACTCTTTCTGCTCCCTTGGCATCCACCTCTCCACTAAAGTCAACATCGACACCTAAATACAACACCACCTGAGCTCTGCGAGTGCAGCATTCTTCCAAATGATGCAGGGAGTGTTTGAGGACCGGGACATCCGTAGGGAGACCAAGGGGCTTGTTTAGAAAGCTATTGTCCTCCCAACCCTGCTCTACGCCTGCGAGACGTGGACTGTCTACAGACGTCACATGCAACTCCTGGAATGATTCCATCAGCGCTGCCTCCGGAAAATTCTGCCAATCTCTTGGGAAGACAGGCGGACAAACGTCAGCATGCTGGAAGAAGCAAAGACCATCAGCATTGAAGCGATGGTCCTCTGCCATCAACTCCACTGGACCGGCCACGTTGTCCGGATGCCTGTCCACCGTCTCCCAAAGCAGTTGCTCTACTCCGAACTCAAGAACGGAAAACGGAATGTTGGTGGGCAGGAAAAGGGATTGAAAGATGGGCTCAAAGCCAACCTTAAAAACTCTGGCATAGATACTGAGAACTGGGAAGCCCTGGCCCTTGAGCACTCCAGCTGGAGGTCAGCTGTGACCAGCAGTGCTGCAGAATTTGAAGAGGCACGAATAGAGGGCGAAAGAGAGAAACGTGTCAAGAGGAAGGCGCATCAAGCCAACCCTGACTGAGACTGCCTTCCACCTGGAAATCAATGCCCTCACTGCGGAACAAGAATAGGGCTCCACAGTCACCTACGGACCCACCTCCAGGACACCGAACTTGGAGGACCATCATCCTCAGACCATGAGGGATCGCTTAAAGCAAAAAGGGAGGAGAGCAAGGACCAATCTCAATGAGATAGTGAAGAGTAGAGACATCACCCTGGCAATGAAGATCTGCATAAAGCAATGGTATTCCTCGTAGTAACCTATGGATGCGAAAGCTGGACCAGAAGGAAGGCTGAGCGAAGGAAGAGAGAAACTTTGAAACTGTGGTGCTGGAGGAAAATGCTTGAGAGTGCCTTGGACCGTGAGAAGATCCAACCAGCTCATCCTCCAGGAAAGAAAGGCCAACTGCTCATTGGAGGGAAGGATATCAGAGGCCAGGATGAAGTCCTTTGGCCACATCATGAGAAGACAGAAAAGCTTGGAGAAGAGAACGATGCTGGGGAAAATGGAAGGAAAGAGGAAGAGGGGCCGACCAAGGGCAAGACGGAGGGATAGCATCCTTGAAGTGACTGGGTTGACCATGAAGGAGCTGCAAGTGGCCACAACTGGCAGGTAGCTCTGGCCTGGGATGGTCCAGGAGGTGACCAAGAGGCGGAAGTGATTGAACGAATAAACAACAAAAGCATACTGATAACACCCCGCTCCATTCCTATGGATGATCTCCCTCAGCAGCTTCATGGAAATATTAAAGATATAACACAGTTCCTTATTACGTTTCCTTGCCCTGATGAAGGGAGTTGGATTGGATGGCCTTAAGTATTTTCTGTAGGTCATGGGTGTTCTGTGTGGGAAGTTTGCCCCAATGCTGTTGTTCGTGGAGTTCAGAATGCTCTTTGATTGTAGGTGAACTATAAATCCCAGCAACTACAACTTCCAAATGACAAGATCATAAATTTTTGTGTGATGGTCACTCCTTGTGTTGTGAGACGTTTTGTTGCCAAATTTGGTGTGATTTCGTTCATTGGTTCTTTTGTTTTTAAGGTACTCATTATGCACAGAGCATTTTTATATATGTAGACTAGCTGTCCCCTGCCAGGCGTTGCTGTGGCCCAGTCTGTTGATCTGGGAAATAAAGTAATGAGAAAGTGTTGGTTTCTAATATATATAATTATGCTTGTGAGTAAACAGTATTTCTTGCTGTGTCTTTGTCAGTGTTGATGTGGAAGGGAAGGGAGGCGTGCGGCACTGGAAGGGCGAGTGGGGCTTGGTGCTGGGCCTCTGGGAGACAGCTGCACGCATGCGCTGTGATGGCTTCTCTTTTTATTAATTAATTAATTAATTAATTTAATTTACTTGTATACCGCCGTTTCTCAGCCTAACCGGCGACTCAACGCAGTTTACAACAAGGGTAAAATCAGTCACAATATACAATTTAAAACACAAAAGCACAATATACAGTATTACACAACAATAACAACACAATGCTTCTCATCACTAGAGTCATGATCCAAATTCGTCGTCCATATTTCCATTCCTGTAATCGTCACATTCATTGCACTGATTAACCAAATGCCTGTTCGAACATCCAAGTTTTTAATCTTCTTCGGAACACCATTAGCGAGGGGGCTGATCTTACCTCCATGGGAAGGGCGTTCCACAGCCGAGGGGCCACCACAGAAAAGGCCCTGTCTCTCGTCCCCGCCAGCCGCACCTGTGAAGCAGGCGGGATAGAGAGCAGGGCCTCCCCAGAAGATCTGAGGGTCCTGGCGGGCTGATAGGCAGAGATACGTTCGGATAGGTAGGTTGGGCCAGAACCGTTTAGGGCTTTAAAGGCCAACGCCAGCACTTTGAATTGAGCCCGGTAGCAGATCGGCAGATTAAGGATTTCTAAGTTGTTTCCGATGTTTTCCTAATTTTTATTATTGTTGGTCACACCTTGTATGGTGAGGAGTTTTGTTGGCAAATTTGGTGGGTATTGGCCCAGCAGTTCTTTTGTTTTTAAGCCACTCATTACGACATGAAGCATTTTATATATATAGATTAATTAATAATATTTTCATGGAAACAGTATAAGATTAATAATACAATATAATAATAGACATTAATATTGTGCTAGGCTAGTAATATAATATATTTTATATACATATAATTATTATTATTAAACTTTATTTGTCCCCCGAAGGACTCGATGCGGCTTACACAGGTCAAGGCCTCAACGCACAACATAACAATACCTAAAGCAAATTAAACAATACCTAAAGCAAAACCTAAAGCAAATTAAAAACAATTAAAGCAATATAACAACAAGCAATAAACAATACACTAAGACACAATAAAACTGGGCCGGGCCAGAGTAATGGGTACAGGATTAAAAGTGCTGATGTGACAGGAGGTATGTAGGATTATAGGGCAAGTGCAGTGTGCGGTGTGCAGCAATCTTAGTTCTAGTAAAGTGCTTCTGGGACTTGGTATTGGAGGTTTCCTAATTGGGAAAGGCACATTGGAACAGCCAGGTCTTCAAGTTCTTTCTGAAGACTGCCAATGTAGGGGCCTGTCTAAGATCTTTGGGGAGGGTGTTCCAGAGTCGGGGGGGGGGGCACCACAGAAAAGGCCCTGTCTCGTGTCCCCACCAAACGCGCTTGCGACGCAGGCGGGATCACGAGGAGGGCCTCTCCAGATGACCAGAGTGAACGCATGGGTTCGTAGATGGTGATGCGGTCATGTAGGTAGGATGAAAATAATATGATAATGCAATACAATAGCATAATAATAATGCTACAATAATTATATTACAGCTTTAAAGCCATCCATAAATACATCATACAATCCAGGTCGGGCATGGGCGTACTTGGGCTCTCCCTTCAGGGGTTTTGGACTTCAACTCCCACCATCCCTAACAGGGATGGTGGGAGTTGAAGTCCCAAACACCTGGAGGGAGAGCCCAAGTAGGCCTAGGCCTGGTCCAGATTCTTGGGCTCTCCCTCCAGGTGTTTTGGACTTCAACTCCCACAATCCCTAACAGGGATTGTGGGAGTTGAAGTCCAAAACCCTTGGAGGGAGAGCCCAAGTAGGCCTAGGCCTGGTCCAAACTTGGGCTCTCCCTCCAGGTGTTTTGGACTTCAACTCCCACAATCCCTAACAGGGATTGTGGGAGTTGAAGTCCAAAACCCCTGGAGGGAGAGCCCAAGTAGGCCTAGGCCTGGTCCAGATTCTTGGGCTCTCCCTCCAGGTGTTTTGGACTACAACTCCCACAATCCCTAACAGAAGTCCAAAACTTCTGGAGCGAGAGCCCAAGTAGGCTTAGGCCTGGTCCAGATTTGAGTTTATAAGTCCTGAGTTCAGAGTATTGTCGAAGGCTTTCATGGCTGGAATCACTGGGTTGTTGTAGGTTTTTTCGGGCTATATGGGCCATGTTCTGGAGGCATTTTCTCCTGACGTTTCGCCTGCATCTATGGCAAGCATCCTCAGAGGTAGTGAGGTCTGTTGGAAGTAGGAAAAATGGGTTTATATATCTGTGGAATGACCAGGGTGGGACAAAGGACTCTTCTGCTGGAGCTAGGTGTGAATGTTTCAACTGACCACCTTGATTAGCATATAATGGCCTGACAGTGCCTAGAGCAAACTTTTGTTGGGAGGTGATTAGATGTCATTCTCGAAGGCTTTCATGGCCAGAATCACTGGGTTGTTGTAGGTTTTTTCGGGCTATATAGGCATGGTCGAGAGGCATTCTCTCCTGACGTTTCGCCTGCATCTATGGCAAGCATCCTCAGAGGTAGTGAGGTCTGTTGGAATTAGGACAATGGGTTTATATATCTGTGGAATGGCTGGGGTGGGGCACAGAGCTCTTCTCTGCTGGAGCTAGGTGTGAATGTTTCAACTGACCACCTTCATTAGCATTTGAAGGCCTGCCAGAGCCTGGGGAAATCTTTTGTTGAGAGGTGTTAAGATGTGCCTGGTTGTTTCCTCTCTGCTGTTTTGCTGTTGTAATTTTAGAGTTTTTTAATACTGGTAGCCAGATTTTGTTCATTTTCATGGTCTCTTCCTTTCTGTTGAAATTGTCCACATGCTTGTGGATTTCAATGGCTTCTCTGTGTAGTCTACCGTGTACCATGCAGCTGTGGACAAGTCTACATAGGGACCACCAAACGCAGCGCCCAGACACGCATCAAGGAACATGAAAGGCACTGCAGACTACTTCAACCAGAGAAGTCAGCCATAGCAGAGCACCTGATGAACCAACCTGGACACAGCAGATTATTGGAGAACACAGAAATGCTGGACCACTCCAGCAACCACCATGTCAGACTACACAGAGAAGCCATTGAAATCCACAAGCATGTGGACAATTTCAACAGAAAGGAAGAGACCATGAAAATGAACAAAATCTGGCTACCAGTATTGAAAAACTCTAAAATTACAACAGCAAAACAGCAGAGAGGAAACAACCAGGCACATCTTAACACCTCTCAACAAAAAATTTTCCCAGGCTCAGCCAGGCCTTACCTAATGAAGGTGGTCAGTTGAAACATTCACACCTAGCTCCAGCAGAGAAGAGCTCTTTGCCCCACCCTGGTCATTCCACAGATATATAAACCCATTTTCCTACTTCCAACAGACCTCACTACCTCTGAGGATGCTTGCCATAGATGCAGGTGAAACGTCAGGAGAGAATGCCTCTAAACCATGGCCATATAGCCCGAAAAAAGCCACAAGAACCTGGTTAATGTAGTAATTGTTTATTGTTTGGGTAATATGTTAAATTGTTAATTGTTATTACATTATTGCATTGAATTATTGCTGTTTTTATTGGTTGTGAACCGCTGTGAGTCGCCCTCGGGCTGAGAACAGCGGTATATAAGCAAAGTAAATAAATAAATAAATAAATAATATTGCAGTATAGTGGTATAGTACAATACTACAATATATGGTATATACATATAATACTGATAAATATGCTATAATGTAATGCAACATAATACCAACAGTACAATATGATACTACACTATGATATTGTGCTATGTAAATAATATAATACATTGTATATACATATATTAATAATATAATGTAATACAATATAATACTAATCATAAAACAATATAATAATAATAATAATAATAATAATAATAATAATAATAATATATAATGGGTTGTTGTAGGTTTTTTCGGGCTATATGGCCACGGTCTAGAGCAGTGTTTCTCAACCTTCCTAATGCCGCAACCCCCTAATACAGTGCCTCATGTGGTGGTGACCCCCAACCATAAAATTATTTTCGTTGCTACTTCATAACTGTAATATTGCTACTGTTAGGAATCATAATGTCAGTATCTGATATGCAGGATGTACTTTCATTCACTGGATGAAATTTCGGACAAATACCCAATGCACCCATATTTGAATACTGGTGGGGTTGGGGGCGGGGAGGTTGATTTTGTCATTTGGGAGTTGTACCTGCTGGGAATTATAGTTCACCTACAATCAAAGAACTCCACCAACTATGGAATTGAACCAAACTTGGCACACAGAACACCCATGACCAACAGAAAACACTGGAAGGGTTTGATGGGCATTGACATTGAGATTTGGAGTTATAGTTCACCTACATCTAGAGAGCACTATGGACTTCAACAATGATAGCGCTGGACCAAACCTGGCACAAATACTCAATATGTCCAAATGTTCACACTGGTGGAATTTAGGGAAAATAGACCTTGACATTTGGGAGCTATAGTTGCTGGGATTTATAGTTCATCTAAAATCAAAGAGCATTCTGAACCTCACGAATGACAGAATTGGACCAAACGTCCCACACAGAACCCCCATGACCAGCAGAAAATACTGTGTTTTGTAATGGTCTTTGGTGACCCCTCTGACACCCCCTTGCGACCCCTCCAGGGGTCCCGACCCCCAGGTTGAGAAACACTGGTTTAGAGGCATTCTCTCCTGACGTTTCGCCTGCATCTATGGCAAGCATCCTCAGAGGTAGTGAGGATGTGGGAGTTGAAGTCCAAAACCCTTGGAGGGAGAGCCCAAGTAGGCCTAGGCCTGGTCCAGATTCTTGGGCTTTCCTTCCAGGGGTTTTGGACTTCAACTCCCACAATCCCTAACAGGGATTGTGGGAGTTGAAGTCCAAAACCCCTGGAGGGAGAGCCCAAGTAGGCCTAGGCCTGGTCCAGATTCTTGGGCTCTCCCTCCAGGTGTTTTGGACTTCAACTCCCACAATCCCTAACAGGGATTGTGGGAGTTGAAGTCCAAAACCCTGGAGGGAGAGCCCAAGTAGGCCTAGGCCTGGTCCAGATTCTTGGGCTCTCCCTCCAGGTGTTTTGGACTTCAACTCCCACAATCCCTAAGAGGGATTGTGGGAGTTGAAGTCCAAAACCCTTGGAGGGAGAGCCCAAGTAGGCCTAGGCCTGGTCCAGATTCTTGGGCTTTCCTTCCAGGGGTTTTGGACTTCAGCTCCCACAATCCCTAACAGGGATTGTGGGAGTTGAAGTCCAAAACCCCTGGAGGGAGAGCCCAAGTAGGCCTAGGCCTGGTCCAGATTCTTGGGCTCTCCCTCCAGGTGTTTTGGACTTCAACTCCCACAATCCCTAAGAGGGATTGTGGGAGTTGAAGTCCAAAACCCTTGGAGGGAGAGCCCAAGTAGGCCTAGGCCTGGTCCAGATTCTTGGGCTTTCCTTCCAGGGGTTTTGGAGTTCAGCTCCCACAATCCCTAACAAGGATTGTGGGAGTTGAAGTCCCAAACCCCTGGAGGGAGAGCCCAAGTTGGCCTAGACCTCTCTCTGTAAGGAGCACCAGTTAACATCCTGGCCGCCGCTCGTTGAACCAGTTGGAATCTCCGAGCCGTTTTCAAGGGCAGCCCCACGTAGAGCGCATTACAGTAATCCAATCTAGAGGATTTCCTATTCTTTTCTAGGATAGTTTTGATGGCGTGGTGAGTGAATTAGAAGCAGACATCCTGAGGAGTGAGGTTGAATGGGCCCTAAGAAGCATTGCTAACAACAAGGCAGGAGGAGATAATTAAATTTTGAGAGTTTTGTTAGAGTTCTGAAATTTTCACCCCCAGAACTTTAGTTTTGTAAGTACTTTAGAACCATGGATTGCCCAAGCCTAGTATATAAGTAAGGTAAATAAATAAACAAACAGGGATTGTGGGAGTTGAAGTCCAAAACCCTTGGAGGGAGAGCCCAAGTTGGCCTAGGCCTGGTCCAGATTCTTCTTCCTCGAGTTCATAAGTCCTGAATTCAAAGAGAGCTTTGAATGTTCCTCCTAAAGTGCATCAGAACGTTAAGGGTTAATATGGAAAGCAGGATTGTCGTAAAGCGGGGTTCACCGTAAAGCGAGGTCGCAAAAGCGTCGCGAGGAGCCGGGCGCGTGCTTAGCAACGGGGGTGCTGCCTTAGCAACGCGGCCTAGTCTCGAGGAAGGCGGCGTTGGAGTAGAGTGGGCCAGCATGTCGGGCCCGTCCGGGGACCCGCAGGCGCGTCGGGCGTGGGCGGCTTCGCTGGGGCAGGCGCTGAAGGCGGAGGGTCCCCGCGGGGCGCGCCTGGAGGCCTTGTCCGGCTTGGGGGCGGCCTTGTCCTCGTCCTCGGGGGGTCGCGGGGAGGAGGCGTTGTCGGCGGAGGAGGTGGAGCGCCTGGTGCTGCGGCCTCTCCTCCGCTGCGCCCTCTCCGACCCGGCCGAGCGGTGCCGCGAGGAGGCTTTGGCGCTGCTCCGGCGGGCCTTGGGCCTCGGAGATGGGAAAGGCCTCTCTCCCGCGGCCTCGTCCGCCCTGCCCGTGCTGGTGCCGGCGTTGGCGCAGCGGTTGTGCCAAGGCGAGGCCGGCCAAGGCGAGTCCTGCGAGGAGCTCCGCCTGGGCCTGCTCCAGCTCCTCTCCGCCCTGCTGGGCGCCTGCGAGGGGCCCGCCTTGGTGCCCTACCTGCCCGAGGCCGCCCCCGCCTTCCGCGCCGCCCTCCGAGACCCCTTCCCGGCCGCCCAGAGACAGGCCTGCGCCGCCATCGCCTCCATCGCCCGCGCAGCCCCAGGTGAACCCAAACTTAGAGATAATCATCATAATAATAATAAGATTTCTGGGAGTTTCTCGGACTATATTCCAGAAGCACTCTCTCCTGACGTTTCGCCCACATCTAGGACAGGCATCTTCAGAGGTGGTGAGGATTTCCCCCAAGCAGGAAGCAGCCAGGCTTTGAAGCTGCAAGGCCGTTGGAGAGTGACCATTTATCCCACTTCTGTTTGCCCCTCCTAAATAAAGTTTATATATATATATATATATATGTTGTTGTTGTTCATTCGTTCAGTCGTCTCCAACTCTTCGTGACCTCATGGACCAGCCTACGCCAGAGCTCCCTGTCGGCCGTTACCACCCCCAGCTCCCTCAAGGTCAGTCCAGTCACTTCAAGGATGCCATCCATCCATCTTGCCCTTGGTCGGCCCCTCTTCCTTTTGCCTTCCACTTTCCCCAGCATAATTGTCTTCTCTAGGCTTTCCTGTCTCCTCATGATGTGGCCAAAGTACTTCAACTTTGTCTCTAGTATCTCTCCCTCCAGTGAGCAGTCGGGCTTTATTTCCTGGAGGATGGACTGGTTGGATCTTCTCGCAGTCCAAGGCACTCTCAGAACTTTCCTCCAACACCACAGCTCAAAAGCATCTCTCTTCCTTCGCTCAGCCTTCCTTAAGGTCCAGCTCTCACATCCGTAGGTGACTACAGGGAATACCATGGCTTTGACTAGGCGGATCTTTGTTGCCAGTCTGATGTCTCTACTCTTTACTATTTTATCGAGACTGGACATTGCTCTCCTCCCAAGAAGTAAGCGTCTTCTGATTTCCTGGCCACAGTCTGCATCTGCAGTAATCTTTGCACCTAGAAATACAAAGTCTGTCACGGCCTCCACGTTTTCTCCCTCTGTTTCCCAGTTATCAATCATTCTTGTTGCCATAATCTTGGGGTTTTTTTTATGTTTATCTGCAACCCAGTTTTTGTGCTTTCTTCTTTCACCTTGTTTAGAAGGCTCCTCAGCTCCTCCTCTCTTTCGGCCATCAGAGTGGTGTCATCTGCATATCTGAGGTTGTTAATGTTTCTTCCAGCACTTTTCACCCCAGCTTTGCATTCATCCAGCCCCGCACATCGCATGATGTGTTCTGCATACAAGTTAAAAAGGTTGGGTGAGAGTATGCAGCCTTGCCGTACGCCTTTCCCAATCTTGAACCAGTCTGTTGTTCCGTGGTCAGTTCTGACTGTTGCTACTTGGTCCTTGTACAGATTCCTCAGGAGAGAGGGAAGGGGGCTTGGGATGCCCATCCCACCCAGAACTTGCCACAATTTATATATATGCACTCAGTTCTTGTGGGTTTTTTCGGGCTATATGGCCATGTTCTAGAGCAGTTGTTCTCAACCTACCTAATGTCGCGACCCCTTAATACAGTTCCTTATGTTGTGGTGACCCCCAATCATAACATTATTTTTGTTGCTTCTTCTTAACTGTAATTTTGCTACTGTTCTGAATTGTAATGTAAATATCTGATATGCAGGATGGATTTTCATTCACTGGACCAAATTTGGCCCAAATACTTTATACGCCCAAATTTGAGTACTGGTGGGGTTGGAGGAGATTTATAGTTTGCCTACAATCAGAGAGCTTTCTGAACTCCACCAACAATGGAATTGAATCAGACCTGGCCACACAGAAATCCCATGACCAACAGAAAATGCTAGAACGGCTTGGTGGGTATTGACTTGAGTTTGGGAGTTGTAGTTCACCTAAATCCAGAGAGCACTGTGGACTCAAACAATGATCAATCTGGACCAAACTTGGCATGAACACTCAATATGTCCAAATGTGGACTCTGGTGGAGTTTGGGTAAAATAGACCTTGACATTTGGGAGTTGTAGTTGCTGGGATTTATAGTTCGCCTACAATCAAAGAGCATTCTGAACCCCACCAATGATAGAATTAGGCCAAACTTCCCATACAGAACCCCCATGATCAACAGAAAATATTGTATATTCTGATGTTCTTCGGGGACCCCTCTGACACCCCCTCGCGACCCCCCCAGGGGTCCCGACCCCCAGGTTGAGAAACACTGTTCTAGAGGCATTTCTCCTGACGTTTCGCCTGCATCTATGGCAAGCATCCTCAGAGGGAGTGAGGTCTGCTGGGACTGGGAAAAAAGAGGGTGAGACAAAGGGCTTTTGTAAGTTGGGCTAGGTGTGAATCTTCCAACTGACCACCTTGATTAGCATACAATGGGCTGACTGTGCCTGGAGCAAAACTCTTCTTGAAAGGTGATTAGATGTCCCTGCCTGTTTTTCTCTCTGCTGTTTTTGCTGTTGCAATTTTAGAATTTTTTAATACTGGTAGCCAGATCTTGTTCATTTTCATGGTTTCCTCCTTTCTGTTGAAATTGTCCACATGTTTGTGTATTTCAATGGCTTCTCTGTGTAGTCTGACATGGTGTGAAGAAACCATGAAAATGAACAAAATCTGGCTACCAGTATTAAAAAATTCTAAAATTGCAACAGCAAAAACAGCAGAGAGAAAAACAGGCAGGGACATCTAATCACCTTTCAAGAAGAGTTTGCTCCAGGCACAGTCAGCCCATTGTATGCTAATCAAGGTGGTCAGTTGAAAGATTCACACCTAGCCCAACTTACAAAAGCCCTTTGTCTCACCCTGGTCATTCCACAGATATATAAACCCCTTTTTTCCCAGTTCCAGCAGACCTCACTACCTCTGAGGATGCTTGCCATAGATGCAGGCGAAACGTCAGGAGAGAATGCCTCTAGAACATGGCCATATAGCCCGAAAAAACCCACAAGAACTGAGTGATTCCAGCCATGAAAGCCTTCGACAATATATATATATATATATATATATATATATATATATATATATGGGGACTCGGGGCGGCTTACATGAGGCCAAGCCCAATAGCATATTACAATAAAATAAAACTAAAACACAATAACAACACAGTAAAATACATGCAACATTATTTATTATTATTATTAACTTTATTTGTACCCCACCAGCATCTCCCGAAGGACTCGATGCGGCTTACAAAGGCCAAGGCCTCAACACACAACATAGCAATACAAAACCCAAGACGATACACCAAAACATAATAAAACTAGGGCCGGACCAAACGTAAAGGCGAGGTTGTGCCAAGGCGAGGCCGGCCAGGGCCAAGGCGAGTCCTGCGAGGAGCTCCGCCTGGGCGTGCTCCAGCTCCTCTCCGCCCTGCTGGGCGCCTGCCTGGGCCCGGCCTTGGTGCCCTACCTGCCCGAGGCCGTCCCTGCCTTCCGCACCGCCCTCCGAGACCCCTTTCCAGCCACACAACGACACGCCTGCGCCGCCATCGCTTCCATCGCCCACGCCGCCCCAGGTGAACCCAAACTTAGAGATAATCAATATAATAATGTTTATGGAAGTGGTACTTGACACCGGTAAGAATAGCATATATGAATAAAAATAACTCAATAAATTGTTGGAGAGGGTGTCAAGAACCAGGAACATATATACACATGTGGTGGCAATGTAAACATGTAAATAATTTTTGGGAGAAAGTATTTAGAGAAATAGAAATAATAATGAATATAAAAATAGATAAAAGTCCTAGTATAGCCTTACTATCATTATATAACAATAAGCAATTGAAAAAGGAGGATAAAGAAGCGATAACAAACTTACTAACTATAGCAAGACTGCTTATAGCAAGGAATTGGAAAAAAGAAATGAATATACAAATAGAGGAGTGGTATAAAGAAGCATGGAAAATAGCAATAAACGATAAATTGACATGTATATTAAAGGTTAAAAAAGGTATATGGAAACAAAGCGATTTTGATGCTGTATGGGGAAGATTTGTGGTAAATGGATTAAAAAATAAGGAAGGAAAATTACCGTCACAAGAAGAAATGAAATTTTGGACAGATGAAATGTAAGAATGGTGGCTTGAGACGGGTGGAGGGGAGCACTGTGGTGAAAAAAGGAAAAAAAGAGAAAAGGGGGGGAAATGTCAAAGCAAAACAACTAAACAACATGTTAAAGAGGCTGATGTACAAAATGCAATAGTATGTAATAAATGTGATAAATCAATAAAAAATTATTTTAAAAAAATAATAATAATAATGTTCCTGGGAGTTTCTCGGACTATATTCCAGAAGCACTCTCTCCTGACGTTTCGCCCACATCTAGGAGGTGGTGAGGATTTCCCCCAGGCAGGAAGCAGCCAGGCTTTGAAGCTGCAAGGCCGTTGGAGAGTGACCATTTATCCCACTTCTGGTTTGCGCCATATAAATAAAGATTATTATTACTATTATTTTTATTTTGTCATGCCAGGAGTGACTTGAGAAACTGCAAGACACTTCTGGTGTGAGAGAATTGGCCGTCTGCAAGGATTATTTATTATTATAATTTATTATTATTAACTTTATTTGTACCCCGCAAACATCTCCTGAAAGGACTCGGTGTGGCTTACAAAGGCCAAGGGCCTCAATAAAACATTACAGCATAAAAAAATACAACAATAAAACTCAAAAGCAAACCAATAAACATTAAACCCAAAGTTAGAGATAATAATAATAATAATAATAATAATAATAATAATAATAATAGTAATAATAAGGTTACCGGGAGTTTCTCCGACTATATTCCAGAAGCATTCTCTCCTGAAGTTTCGCCCACATCTAGGACAGGCATCCTCAGAGGTGGTGAGGATTTCCCCCAGGCAGGAAGCAGCTAGGCTTTGAAGCTGCAAGGCCGTTGGAGAGTGACCATTTATCTCACTTCTGTTTGCCCCTCCTAAATAAAGTATATATATACTTTATATATATACTAGCGGTCTCTCTCTCTCTATATATATATATATATATATATATATATATATATACTAGCTGTCCCCTGCCAGGCGTTGCTGTGGCCCAGTCTGGTGATCTGGAAAATAAAGTAATGAGAAAGTGTTGGTTTCTAATATATGTAATGTCTTTATGCTTTGGGCGTATTCAGTACTTGTGCCAAGTTTTGTCCAGATCCATCACTGTTTGAGTCCACAGTGCTCTCTGAATGTAGTTGAACTACAACTCCCAAACTCAAGGTCAGTGCCCACCAAACCCTTCCAGTATTTTCTCTTGGTCATGGGAGTGGAGACTCCTTCTTTGGAAGCTTTTAAACAGAGGCTGGATGGCCATCTGTCAGGGGTGCTTTGAATGCGATTTTCCTGCTTCTAGGCAGAGGGTTGGACTGGATGGCCCATGAGGTCTCCTCCAACTCTATGATTCTATGATTCAATTCCATCGTTGATGGAGTTCAGAATGCTCTTTGATTGTAGGTGAACAATAAATCCCAGCAACTACAACTCCCAAATGACAAAATCATAATTTTTTGAGTGATGGTCACTCCTTGTGTTGTGAGACGTTTTGTTGCCAAATTTGGTGTGATTTCGTTCATTGGTTCTTTTGTTTTCAAGGTACTCATTATGCACAGAGCATTTTTATATATAGAGATGATAGAACAATATTAATGGGGACTCGGAGAGGCTTACATGAGGCCAAGCCCAACAGCATATTACAATAAAGTAAAACCAAAACACAATAATAACACAGTAAAATACACATAACATATGAGTACAAAGACGATAAAGCAAAATCATACACATTAAAATAACATAACATAACATAACAATGAGTGGGCCGCATGTGCAAGATAAAAACTAAAAATACTAAAATCAGGATGAGATAGGGATGGAGCAGATTGTTTGTGGGGAAGAAACTCATAAAGGAATAGGGTCATAAATATAGACCTTCGTACAGGTGGGGAATATACTCTGGGGACAAAAACCGTTAAGGGGGAGCAACTGTGTATGATAATATGGCTACTTATTATTATTATTATTATTATTATTATTATTATTATTATTAATTCAGTGCTAATCAAGCTGGCCAACTGCAACATTCACACCCGTCACAAGCAGAGAAGAGTTCTTTCTCCCACACTGGACATTATTTCACAGGGATGGATATATATGTATATATATATATATATATATATATATATATATATATGCATATGTGTGTGTGTGTGTGTGTGTAGGTTGGCAAAAGATAGAGCCCACCCTGATCCCTGGATTTGAAACAGTGACCTTTAGGTCAGCAAATTCAGCAACTCAGCGGTTTAACCCACTGTGCCACCGGGTGCTCCAATAGTACAATAGGCTCGAGTAAATACAGTATATGACAGTGTAGACTCATGTAATTTCTTGTTACATGGTGTAAAGTCGAAAATGAGACTGGATATTTTATTTCCCATCCTAGAACATTTTCACCTGCAATCAGAAAGCTTCATTGCCCCCTTGATGCAAGCCATTTCCCACCAGCATTATCGGGTCCGTGTTGCTGTCATTCAGGCCACAGGAGCAGTGATTCAGTTTGGCAATGCGAAGTCTCTGGACGATGTGCTCTCCCACCTGGCCCAACGGTGTTTTGACGACATCTCACAGGTAACCTCTTAATTCAGTCAGGTCTTGCTATACAACAGGGGTGGGGAGTGTTCGACCCATCAGATCAGAGTTTTCCAAACTGTGTGTCGGGACACACTAGTGTGTTACATGTAGTCCCTAGGCATGTCGCCTGAAAAATGCTTTCCTCCCCACGTACACACCTGCTCCTACAAACAAATCAGAGCCAGGGAGAGCGAGGAGGAGGAGGAAGGGACCCCCAAAGGGCATCTAGTCCAACCCCTTTCAGGCACAATCAAAGCACCTACCTCTAAAGAGCCGTAATTGCTACAGAAGTTGAGTGCTGATGCTGTTTGATTGACTTGCAGTAATTATCACTAAAATTGATAAGTTTTTAATTAAGAAAAGAAAATGTTGACAACAATGTTTGTGATGAACCACATGGAGCAGCTATAGAGGGAACTACGCAAGGAACAGCAGTAGCGCATAAGATGTGTGAAGGAAACAATTCCAAACCTTGTATAAACAGTAAACATTATATGAAACACAGAAGACAGACACATATTGTGTGAAAATCATATGAGAGGTTGGTTTACCCTCTTGCTTGCTAGTGAAACTGAATTGCGGTGTTGCTCAAGGATGCATGTCTAGCAACCATGTCACCAACATGATAAGTTTGGAAAACTCTTCTCCAGAGGTTACTAGACTGCCATTCCCATCATCCTTTCCCATTGTCTGTGTTGGCTTACCCTCTTGCTTACTAGTAAAACTGAATTCCCGTGTCGCAAAAGGATGCATGTCTAACAAACGTGTCATCAACACACCAAGTGTTGCTGTCATTCAGTGTTGCTGTCATTCACCAACTCTTCTCCAGAGGTTACTAGACTGTCACTCATATCATCTTTTCCCATTGTCTGTGCTGGTTTCCCCTCTTGCTTGCTAGTAAAACTGAATTACGGTGTTGCAAAAGGATGCATGTCTAACAAGCGTGTCATCAACACCCCAAATTTGGAAAACTCTTCTCAAGAGATTACTAGACAGTCACTTGCATAATCTTTTCCCGTTGTCTGTGCTGGGTTACTCCCCTGCTTACTAATAAAACTGAATTACGATGTCGCAAAAGGATGGATGTCTAACAATCGTGTCACCAACATGACAAGTTTGGAAAGCTCTTCTCCAAAGGTTACGTGACTGCTACTCCCATCATCCTTTGTCGTTGTCTGTCCTGGTTTACTCTCTTGCTTGCTAGAAAAACTGAATTACAGTGTCGCAAAAGGATGCATGTCTAACAAGTGTGCCATCAACACACCAAGTTTGGAAAGCTCTTCTCCAGAGGTTACTAGACTGCTACTCCCATCATCCTTTCCCATTGTCTGTTCTGTTTTACCCTCTTGCTTGCTAGAAAAACTGAAATGTGGTGTCGCAAAAGGATGCATGTCTAACAAGCGTGCCACCAACATGACAAGTTTGGAAAGCTCTTCTCCAGAGGTTACTAGACTGCCATTCCCATCATCCTTTCCCATTGTCTGTGCTGGTTTACTCTCTTGCTTGCTAGTAAAACAGAATTACTATGTCGCAAAAGGATGAATGTCTCACACTCGTATCATCCTTTCCCATTGTCTGTGCTGGTTTACCCTCGTGCATGCTAGTAAAACTGAATTACGGTGTTGCAAAAGGATGCATGTCTAACAAGCATGTCATCAACATGAGAAGTTTGGAAAACTCTTCTCCAAAGATTACTAGACTGCCACTCACATCATAGGCCGCCTTATCGGGAGCAGCTCAGGACTTCATGTCTACCATGGCAACCATGGGGCTGTCCCAACAGGTATCTGGCCCCACCCACAGTGCTGGACATACATTGGACTTGGTTTTCTGCCAGGGATGGGAGGAAGGTGGCGGTGTTGAGGAGCTATCCATCTCTCCGTTGCCATGGACCGACCACCACCTGGTCAGCTTTAGACTCACTGCACCCCCTAACCTCCGCAGAGGTGGAGGACCCATTAAGATGGTCCGCCCCAGGAGGCTTATGGATCCGGATGGATTCCTGACGGCTCTTGGGGAATTTCCCGCCACCTCGGTTGGTGATCCTGTTGATGCCCTGGTCGCTCTCTGGAATGGGGAGATGACTAGGGCAATAGACACGATCGCTCCAGAACGTCCCCTCTCAAGTAGCCGAGCTAAACCAGCTCCTTGGTTTACCGAGGAGCTGGCAGCGTTGAAGCGAAAGAAGAGGGAACTAGAGAGCGTGTGGCGTTCGGATCCGAGCGAGCCAAATCGAACACGGTTTGTGTCCTTTTTAAGGGCATATGCCGCGGCAATAAAAGCCGCAAAGAAGACTTTCTTTGCGGCCACTATTGCGTCTGCAAAGAACCGTCCGGCTGAGCTGTTCCGGGTTGTCAGAGGCCTGTTAAAACCCTCCACTCAGGATGGGTGCCCTGATGACTCGGCAGCTCGCTGTGAAGCCTTTGCTCAGTTCTTTGCAGACAAAGTCGCTTTGATCCGCTCTGGACTGGATACCATATTAACGGCAGTCTCTGAGGATGTAACACAGCATCTGCTTGTCCGGTTTTGATGGATTCATTTCAATTGGTTCAATCCGAGGATGTGGACAAGGTGCTTGGAGGAATGAGAGCTACCACATGCATCCTAGACCCCTGCCCATCCTGGCTTCTGAAGGAGGCCAGAGGGGGATTGGCCGAGTGGGTGAAGGTGGTGGTTAATGCCTCCCTTCGGGAAGGCAAAATTCCAGCCAGCTTAAAACAAGCTGTGATAAAACCGCTGTTGAAGAAACCATCACTGGATCCCACTCAATTCGTCAACTTTCGGCCTGTTTCCAATCTTCCCTTTTTGGGCAAAGTCCTGGAACGTGTGGTGGCCTCACAACTCCAGACATTCTTGGTAGACACTGATTATCTGGATCCGGCACAGTCTGGCTTTAGGCCGGGGCATGGTACCGAGACAGCCTTGGTCGCCTTAGTGGATGATCTGCGCGGGAGCTCGACAGGGGGAGTGTGTCCCTGTTGGTGCTGCTCGACCTCTCAGCGGCCTTCGATACCGTCGACCACGGTATCCTTCTGGGACGCCTCGCGGGGATGGGTCTTGGAGGTACTGTTCTGCAGTGGCTCCGCTCATTCCTCAAGGGTCGGTCTCAGAAGGTGTTATTGGGAGACTCCTGTTCAACCCCACAACCTTTGTCTTGTGGGGTTCCTCAGGGCTCAATACTGTCCCCCATGTGTTTAATATCTACATGAAGCCACTGGGTGAGATCATCCGGAGTTTCGGGGTACGGTGTCATCTGTACGCAGATGATGTCCAACTCTGTCACTCCTTTCCACCTGCTACTAAGGAGGCTGGTCAGGTCCTGAACCGGTGCTTGGCCGCTGTGACGGTCTGGATGGGGGCGAACAAATTGAAATTGAATCCAGACAAGACAGAGGTACTCCTGGTTAGTCGCAAGGCCGAACAGGGTATAGGGTTACAGCCTGTGTTGGACGGGGTCGCACTCCCCCTGAAGACGCAGGTTCGCAGTTTGGGTGTGATCCTGGACTCATCGCTGAGCCTGGAACCCCAGGTTTCGGCGGTGACCAGGGGAGCATTCGCACAGTTAAAACTTGTGCGCCAACTGTGACCGTACCTTGGGAAGTCTGACTTAGCCACGGTAGTCCACGCTCTGGTTACATCCCGCCTTGACTACTGCAACGCTCTCTACGTGGGGTTGCCTTTGAAGACAGCCCGAAGCTCCAATTAGTCCAACGGGCGGCAGCCATGATACTAACAGGAGCGGAGCGCAGGGAGCATACAACTCCTCTGCTGCACCAGCTCCACTGGCTGCCGATTTGCTACCGGGCTCAATTCAAAGTGCTGGCGTTGGCCTTTAAAGCCCTAAACGGTTCTGGCCCAACCTACCTATCCGAACGTATCTCGGCCTATCAGCCCACCAGGACCCTAAGATCTTCTGGGGAGGCCCTGCTCTCTATCCCGCCTGCTTCACAGGTGCGGCTGGCGGGGACGAGAGACAGGGCCTTTTCTGTGGTGGCCCCTCGGCTTTGGAACGCCCTTCCCATGGAGGTAAGATCAGCCCCCTCGCTGATGGTGTTTCGAAAAAGACTGAAGACCTGGATGTTCGAACAGGCATTCGGTTAATTCGGTACAATGAACTGATGACTAAAGGATTGGTAATATGGACGATGAAATTGGATTATGATTTTAGTTAAGAGATGCATTGGATTATTATTGACGGGCCAATATTGTGTATTGTGTATGTTGTTTTTTTATGGTTTTAATCTGAATATTGTTGTTTGTTGTACTGTTGTAAACCGCGTTGAGTCGCCAATTTAGGCTGAGAAACGGCGGTATACAAGCACAGTAATAAATAATAAATAAATAAATAATTTTCCCATTGTCTGTGTTGGTTTACCCTCTTGCTTGCTAGTTAAACTGAATTGTGGTGTCGCAAAAGGATGCATGACTAACAAGCATGTCATCAACACAAGAAGTTTGGAAAGCTCTTCTCCAAAGGTTGCTAGACTGCTACTCCCATCATCCTTTCCCATTGTCTGTCCTGGTTTACTCTCTTGCTTGCTAGTAAAACCGAATTACGCTGTCGCAAAAGGATGCATGTCTAACAAGCGTGTCACCAACACGACAAGTTTGGAAAACTCTTCTTCAGAGGTTACTAGACTGCTACTCCCATCATCCTTTCCCATTGTTGTGCTGGTTTATCCTCTTGCTTGCTAGTAAAACTGAATTATGATGTCGCAAAAGGATGCATGTCTAACAAGTGTGTCACCAACACAAAACGTTTGGAAAACTCTTCTCCAGAGGTTACTAGATTACCATTCCCATCATCCTTTCCCATTGTGTTTGTTGGTTTACCTCTTGCTTGCTAGTGAAACTGAATTGCGGTGTTGCAAAAGGATGCCTGTCTAACAAGTGTGTCACCTTTATGATGAGTTTGGAAAGCTGTTCTCCAGAGGTTACTAGACTGCTATTCCCATCATCTTTTCCCATTGTCTGTGCTGGTTTACCCTCCTGCTTACTGGTAAAACTGAATAGCGGTGTCGCAAAAGGATGCCTGTCTAACAAGCATGCCACCAACATAACAAGTTTGGAAAGCTCTTCTCCAGAGGTTACTAGATTGCCACCTGCATAATCTTTTCCCATTGTCTGTGTTGGTTTACCCTCTTGCTTGCTTGTAAAACCGAATTGCGGTATCGCAAAAGGATGCCTGTCTAACAAGCATGTTAACATCCTTTCCCATTGTCCGTGCTGGCTAGAGGTGCTGAGGAGATGCCTTTACTAGGAGACATAACATTAACACTGGATATTTGGACAGTCTTTCGTTCTTCCATTCATTAGTAACCATTACCTAGTATCCGTTGTTTCAGATGTGTATAAAGATGTGCCTGTGGTCTGTGTTCCACAAGAAACGCCCACCTGTGCTTCTGTTTTCATTCTCTCATTCTCTCTTAGAACATGTGATCTGGCTTTTGGGTATTCCACAAATCTCATTGTTGTTATTATTATTATTATTATTATTATTATTATTATTATTTCCCTGTTTTGAAGACCTTCCTTGAAAGAGAACCCAAGATCCTGACCTATCAGGATGATTTTGTAGTACAGCAGCCGGACTTAATATTGGGTGGAAATGGAATCGACTCCTTTTCTTTTCTTCCTTGTCCTTTCCTAGGTGAGGGAGGCTGTGATCAGTGTCATTGGAGAGTGGCTGCTACACCTGCGGGATAGATATTCTTATTTTCACAAGTTAATTCCTCTCCTGCTCAGTGGCCTGACTGATGAAATGCATGAGAACAAGTAAGCAGACTCAAGAGTACACCCATTATGTCCTGCATGTGAGAATGCAAAGGTTGGGCCTCATCCGTTTGGGAAAAGACTGGCCCCTTCCACACAGCTGCTCACAATCCACATTAAACTGAATTATATGCCAATGTGGACGCAGATCATCTAGTTCAAACAAAATGTTGCGTCTTATCTGTCTTGATATTCTGGATTATATGGCTCTTTCTACACTGCCATATAATCCAGTTCGAAGCAAATAATCTGGATTTTATATGCAGTGTAGAAGGGGCCTAAGTAAACACATTGAATAATAAATATTATCATAATTGTGTTGTTGAAGGCTTTCGTGGCCAGAATCACATGGTTTCAGTGAGTTTTCTGGGCTGCCTGACCATGTTCCAGAAGCATTCTCTCCTGACGTTTTGCCCACATCTCTGGCAGGCATCCACAGAGGTTGTAAGATCTGTTGGAAACTAGGCAAGTGAAGTTTAGAAACCTGTGCAATGATGTCAAGGATGGGAGAAAGAACTCTTGTCTGTTGGAGGCAAGTATGAATGTTGCCATTAGCCAGCTTGATTATCATCAAATAGCCTTGCAGCTTCAAGCCTGGCTCCTTTCTGCCTGGGGGAAATCCTTTGTTTGGAGGTGTTAGCCAGCCCTGATTGTTTCATGTCTGCAATTCCCCTTCTTTTTAGTGTTGCTCTTTATTTACTGTCCTGATTATAGAGCTTTTTAATACTTTTCTAGGTGAGGGAGGCTGTGATTGTGTTCATTTCCATGATTTCTTCCTTCCTGTTCCTGCCCACCTGCTTCTTGTGGATCTCAGTGGCTTCTCTGTGTAGTCTGACATGGTGGTTGTGAGAGTGGTCCAGCATTTCTGTGTTCTCAAATAATATGCTGTATCCAGGCTTGTTCATCAGGGGCTCTGCTATGGCTGACTTCTCTCATTCAAGTAGTCTGCAGTGCTTTCGTGTTCCTTGATTCATGTTTGGACAATGCTGCATTTGGTTGTCCTTATGTAGACTTGTTCACAGCTGCATATGGTAGACTCCTGTAGAGTTGTGAGGGTCCCTCTTGTCAGGACCAGTCAGGGCTAGCTAACACCTCCCAACAAAGGATTCCCCCAGGCAGGAAGCAGCCAAGCTTTGAAGCTGCAAGGCTATTCTATGCTAATCAAGGTGGCCAATTGCAACATTCACACTTACCTCCAACAGACAAGAGTTCTTTCTCCCACCCTGGACATTGTTCCGTAAATATATAAACCCCACTGGCCTAGTTTCCAACAAACCCCTCAACCTCTGAGGCTGCCTGCCATAGGTGTGGGTGAAATGTCAGGAGAGAATTCTTCTGGAACATGGCCAGACAGCCCAGAAAACTCACAGCAACCCAGTCACAGATACTGCTGGAAACTGATGTCTTAAGCATGTTTTTGTTTGTATTCTTGAAGGCTTTTATGGCCGGAATCACTGCGTTGTTGTAGATCTTTTCGGGCTATATGGCCATGTTCTAGAGGCATTCTATCCTGACGTTTCGCCTGCATCTATGGCAAGCATCCTCAGAGGTAGTGAGGTCTGTTGGAACTAGGAAAAATGGGTTTATATATCTGTGGAATGACCAGGGTGGGACAAAGGACTCTTGTCTGCTGGAGCTAGGTGTGAATGTTTCAACTGACCACCTTGATAAGCATTTGATAGCCTGGCAGTGCCTGGAGCAATCTTTTGTTGAGAGGTAATTAGATGTCCCTGAGTGTTTTCCCTCTGCTGTTTTGCTGTTTTAATTTTCACACCTAGCTCCAGCAGACAAGAGTTCTTTGTCCCACTCTGGTCATTCCACAGATATATAAACCCTTTTCCTAGTTCCAACAGACCTCACTACCTCTGAGGATGCTTGCCATAGATGCAGGCGAAACGTCAGGAGAGAATGCCTCTAGAACATGGCCATATAGCCCGGAAAAACCTACAACAACCAATGTTTTTCTTTTCTTATTGATACTCTATTATGTTTTGGGATGGTGTCATGAGGTTAAAAAATATTTTTACATACCCAATTTTTACAACTGATGAGCTCCATTGGAGTGCTGATGGGCCTCAGTGGTGATTTCTTATCAGCTAAACACATGAAAAGCTTTGGTTTTGAACTGAGCTCAGGTGATGCTTCTTGGCAGAATGGGGTTGGACTGGATGGCCCATGAGGTCTCTTCCAACTCTTTGATTCTATGATTCTATGATGTGAAGGTTGCCAGTGGCAATAAATCTGTTATGATCCATGAATCCATGCCACCGGATATTTAACAGCCTTAGGGCTGATATGGGCAGGATAGAAATAATGTAAATATAAATAAATAGATAATAAAACAAATAGATGAATTATTTGCATGTTAGAGATTACCTGTAAGGAGTGAGATCACCTATAAGATGTGGATGCTTCCCGATCAATTCCAAACTGAATCTATTGTTCAATTTCTAAACGGGCTCTACTTTTTAAATAGTTAATTGTAAACAACTTGAACGTGAGGCCTGTAACGGACACTTTGAAATGCCTTTGTTTTCCACTTAGGGAGCTGGCTCTCACTTACTGGAAGAGAATAGGTTTGCAGTGGGAAAAAGAAAATGAAGAGGATATTAAGGATAAGCTTGACTTCTATTCTGCACCACCTTATTATCCTCCAGGACGTGAGTATACGAGGAACAGCCCGGGATTGGGCAAGTCAATTTTCTCCATTGAGGCTCTGTATTTTAACTGTAAACAGAAGTTGAAAATACTATATATATTCGAGAATAAGGCGGGGTTTTCAGCCTTTTTTTAGGCTGAAAAAGCACCCCCTCGGCTTATACTCGAGTCAAGGCTGAGAGGGGTCACCAAAGACCATCAGAAAACACAGCATTTTCTGTTGGTCATGGGGGTTCTCTGTGGGAAGTTTGGCCCAATTCTATCCTTGGTGGGGTTCAGCATGCTCTTTGATTGTAGATACATCCCAGCAACTACAACTCCCAAATGTCAAGGTCTATTTTCCCCAAACTCCACCAGTGTTCACATTTGGGCATATTGAGTATCAGTGCCAAGTTTGAGTCCACAGTGCTCTCTGGGTGTAGACACCCCCTCGTAACCCCCCCCCCCAGGGGTCCTGACCCCCAGGTTGAGAAACATTGCTCCAGATCCTCCCCCCCAAGGAAAGTACTTAGTAACGTCAGTAAGACCAGTAATTTGAGGCTGAATATCCAGGTGGATGGTGGAGGGTACAGAAGAGGTGGTGGTAATGCTGCGTGAGAGAGAGCCTGTTCTTTTGCAAAACAAGTCTCGATCACAAGGCTGGGCAGGATTCCAACCACCTCATCCAATAATTTCTTCACGCCTCATGCCTTCTCATAATAGCATCCCCTCCAAAAAGATTAATTGCAAAATTATAGAACTTTGGAGACATTTGACCTACTTAATTCCAAGTGTTATCTCTTAAGAAGTTTGAAATGGTTTGCAGTAGGGCACTCTCTATGGTAACTTGAAAATGATCTCAGATCAACTCTTGATATCAGGCCTGGGCAAACTTTGGCCCTTCACAAACACTTCTGTGGTCTGTATGCTCTTTAGCTTAGGCTTTCCTTTCTTTTAGCTGATAGCTGCACAATCAAAGGGCCCACAGACAGCTAGGGAAATGCTTCAGGGCTTGCTTGTGTACAGATCCGCTTGTTGATTTGAGTGCCTTGGTGTCAATGGAAAGATTAACATTTGGGCATTGTTGTAGTAACCTGAGAACTTTTTAAAAATCCTTTTCAAATAAGACTTCCCTTCTCCCTGAATTCTGTCTCTCTCCCACCTTAGAGACCCGTCCGGAACTGGGATGCCGGGAGCTTGTGATCAGAAACTTGTTCAAAATCCTTCCCGGTCTCTGTCATGACATGACAGATTGGGTGGAAGGCACCAGAATAAAGTCTTCCCAGCTTCTGGTGATACTATTGCAGCATGTGGAGGACCACATCACCCAACATATGGAACCTCTGCTCAGGACCTTGTACCGCGCATGCTCAGAAGACAATAGTACTGTGGTCAGGAATGTGAGTATGGCCATTTCAAAGGAGGGGGCTTTGCACACAGAAGGTGTCGCAACTCAGGATAGATTCAACTTGCTCAGAACACCACCACACATATCTTGTTGTCCATGTTTTTTAAATTTTAATTGCTTGTATTGTTGTTATTATTGCGTGTATTGTTGTATTTGGGCTCGGCCTCATGTAAGCCGCACCGAGTCCCTTGGGGAGATGGTAGCGGGGTATAAATTATTATTATTATTATTATTATTATTATTATTATTATTATTATTATTATTTTAAACATAGAAATAAGGTTGCAAAAGTTCAGTAGCCAAAGCAGAGTCTTAAATGCAAAGGCAGAGTTTCCAATGTCCAAAGGCAAATAACATGAAGTATAATCTCTTAGCATTGGTTAAACAAGAATCCATGGCAGCATGACAAAATCCCCAGAAACCAAGATCAAAACCAAAGTCCCAAAGAGCCAAACGCTTTCCCCAAAAGCCGAGGCAATTCCAGAGAAGTTAGTAGGGTGTAAGCAAAGTTGCACTGACAAAGGGTTGACTTCAATCAGATTGTTAAATATGTTTTCCTAGCATGAAAGCATTGCGTTGACCTCGAACTTCCTGTTTGTTGGCAAGCCGAGCACTTCGGCGTACCCTTAATTGCAAATGGTCCTCCCTAACTAAATCCCCAGAACCTTCAAAGCCAAAAAACTCATTATCCTGGGACTGGGCAGCCTGGGAATCGACAGGCATTGAGCTCACAGATGGAGCGGTCGACTCCTCCACCTGCAGCTGTGAAGTTTTACTCAAATCATGACCATCATCTAAAACAACATTCCTTTCTCTCGGAAACTGAAACGCCGCCTCGTCTTCAGTATCAACACTGTCTGCATCAACAACAGGGACATGCTCAGAAATCTGTAACCCATCATCTTCCTTGTCCTGAGGAAACTCAGGCTCAGAAAGCTCAGACTGAGCCACAAGTGAAAGCTGATTAGACTCACCTGTACATTATTTATTTATTTATTTACAGTATTTCTATTTTGCCCTTCTCACCCCACAGGGGACTCAGGGCAGATTACAATGTTCATATACATGGCAAACATTCAATGCCATAGACACACAACATTTATAGACAGACACTCAGAGGCTATTTAACCTTCCAGCTTTTCATGAGGGTATTCTGGCCACCAGGGGAGCTGTTGCTTCACCGTCCATTTGTGACAATGATGAAGTACTTCCTCATTCTTTTGCATGCTTGCTGGAGATTTTTATGGCCTCATAAATTAGTCAAATTAGCCTCCCCGCATAAGCTGTATCTAAATTTCCTACTTGACAGATGCAACTGTCTTTCGGGCTGCAAAGGTCAACAGCAAGCTACACAAATTGGTCGGAAGCTCACTCTGACCTGGGCTATGTGAACCTTTGAACTCATGACCTTTTGGTCAGTGGTGATCTTAATGCAGCTGACTCACAGCCAGCTGCGCCACATTCCCAGTGCAACAACAACAATACTTCTGAATATTTAACAACAGAGCGGCTTACAAGATATATATCATTGAGTTTATTGATTTTTTGTGATATAATATATTATTTTGGTCCTTGACTTTCTCGACTTTCTTTTGGTCCATGCTTTCCTGCATGGTGTCTTCTCATGTGTAAGAACGGAGCCAGGATGGTAATCCACTTGGGCATCATCCCCGTTGGATCAGGACGTATAGGAGATTTTAATGGGCACTATTGAGCTAAATATATCTTTGTCTGAGTCTTATCCATCAGTGATGAGATGGTTCAGATCTTAGTTCACCTGGAGTGTTGGCCAAGTAGAGCATTAGCAGCCTCTTAAAAATCATAAGCAGGAGATTAAAGCATAACATGCCTTTAGGGAGCGAAATTCCTTTTACAGACTCTGCGCAGTTCCTGCCCTTTCAGGTTAATTTGGCCTGTTATCTGTTTTGCTCTCTCTGCTGGGTAATCCTCCCACAATACTGAAGCATGCTTATTCTGGGAGAAGGCCTTAATTAGTTCACAGACACAGCAAGTTTATTTTGGGTTGTTGTAGGTTTTTTCGGGCTATATGGCCATGTTCTAGAGGCATTCTCTCCTGACATTTCACCTGCATCTATGGCAGGCATCCTCAGAGTTGTGAGGTCTGTTGGAAACTAGGAAACTAAGAAATTGGGAAACTCAGGGTGGGACAAAGAACTCTTGTCTGTTGGAGCTAGGTGTGAATGTTTCAACTGACCACCTTGATTCGCATTTGATGGCATGGCAGTTGTTTGGTGTGGCTTGTTATTGCCTGGGGCAATCTTTTGTTGAGAGGTGGTTAGATGTCCCTGATTGTTTCCTCACTGTTGTTTTGCTGTGGTAATTTTAGAGTTTTGTTTAATAAAACAATCTGGGTTGTTGTAGGTTTTTTGGGCTATATGGCCATGGTCTAGAGGCATTCTCTCCTGACGTTTCGCCTGCATCTATGGCAAGCATCCTCAGAGGTAGTGAGGTCTGTTGGAACTAGGAAAATGGGTTTATATATCTGTGGAATGACCAGGGTGGGACAAAGGACTCTTGTCTGCTGGAGCTAGGTGTGAATGTTTCAACTGACCACCTTGATTAGCATTTGATGGCCTGGCAGTGCCTGGAGCAAACTTTTGTTGAGAGGTGATTAGATGTCCTTGTTTGTTTCCTCTTGTTGTGCTGTTGTAATTTTAGAGTTTTTTTAATACTGGTAGCCAGATTTTGTTCATTTTCATGGTTTCCTCCTTTCTGTTGAAATTGTCCACATGCTTGTGGATTTCAATGGCTTCTTTGTGTAGTCTGACATGGTGGTTGTGAGAGTGGTCTAGCATTTCTGTGTTCTCAAATAATATGCTGTGTCCAGGTTGGTTCATCAAGTGCTCTGCTATGGCTGACTTCTCTGGTTGAAGTAGTCTCTAGGGTTTTTGACGCGCCTTCTTCCTCTTGGAACGTTTCTCCCTTTCGCCCTACATTTGTCCCTCTTCGAATTCCACAGCACTGCTGGTCACAGCTGACCTCCAGTTAGAGTGCTCCAGGGCCAGAGCTTCCCAGTTCCGTCTCGGTGCCTCTGCCACAGTTTTTGAGGTTGGCTTTAAGCATCTGTGCTGTTGACGGGAGAGAGAGCAGGGCCTCCCCGGATGATCTTAGATTACGAGGCGGGGTGTAGGGGTGGATGCGTTCGGACAAATAAGCTGGGCCAGAACCGTATAGAACCGTATTTAACAACAAGGATGAGAAAACCTGTTTTCTGTTTTGCAAGCTTCTGCTCTAGTGCATGAGCAGATATGAATTGCCTTCAGTCATGCTCCATTGCCTTGGACAGAGAAGCGAATACGGTTTGTTTTTATTTTTCCAAGATAGAATGTGAAGCTGGGTTGTTGGAGTTTTTTCGGGCTATATGGCCATGTTCTAGAAGCATTCTCTCCTGACGTTTCGCCTGCATCTATGGCAGGCATCCTCAGAGGTTGTGAAGCTTTTATATTTCTTGAAAATGGTAACTTATTTCTCATCCCCTTGAATTTAGTAGAGGAGGAGAGTCCCAAAGGGGCACTTTAAAGACCCCAAACTAATAAACCCAGCGTTGGGGCATGGATTGATAGCTGGCGAAAAGATTCTGTTAACACTGGATGTTGCGTACTTCGTTCTGTGTCTTCAGCTTTGTTTTTAATATTCTGTTTGAAAGGCAGGTGATGAAAGAAGGCATGTGAGCACGCATTTTGAGCTTTTTCGCTACACATCAAGAAAACTTGGCCATGCATTTAATCAGGAGTGAGTGAAGGGAGTGGGAAAAAAAGGCCTGTAAGGCAATTCCTCGAGGCATTAAAACAGGGGCAGCCTTGCCTTTGGAAAAACAATCCTATTGAATGGGTTGTTGTAGGTTTTTTCAGGCTATATGGCCATGTTCTATAGGCATTTTCTCCTGACGTTTTGCCTGCATCTATGGCAAGCATCCTCAGAGGGAGTGAGGTCTGTTGGAACTAGGAAAATGGGTTTCTATATCTGTGGAATGACTTGGGTGGAGCAAAGAACTCTTGTCTGCTGGAGCTAGGTGTGAATGTTTCAACTGACCACCTTGATTAGCATTTGATAGCCTGACAGTGCCTGGAGCAATCTTTTGTTGAGAGGTGATTAGATGCCCTTGTTTGTTTTCTCTCTGTTGTTTTGCTGTTGTAATTTTAGAGTTTTTTTTAATACTGGTAGCCAGATTGAACTTGATTGGTCTTTTTGTTCTTATAGTCTGGTGTTTATGCGTGTTTGTGTCTCTCGCAGTGCTTGAAAGCAGCCGAGCTGATTGGCGTCTTTGTCAGCCCAGCGGTGTCTCTGAAGCTAATCCTGTCTGACCTGGAGAAAACACCCGTGCCTTCTTGCCTCATGATCCTCACAGCCGTGATCCGTGGCTCCCCACGGAAGGTCTTGCAGCCTCATTTGGCGTACCTGGCCAACAGGCTCTCCCAGCCGGAAATCAGCCAGCGCACCGAAGAGGTAAAGAGAACATAAAATACGTTTTGCCACCAAACACTCTCCAAGCCTTCTGTATCTTACTTGAAGTTGACACTAACGCTTCATCTAGGCTGGTGGTTCTCAACCTGTGGGTCCCCAGGTGTTTTGGCCTACAACTCCCAGAAATTCCAGCCAGTTTACCAGGTGTAAGGATTTCTGGGAGTTGAAGGCCAAAGCATCTGGGGACCCACAGGTTGAGAACCACTGATCTAGGCCTAGATAGCAGGGATAGGCACTTATGGAAGTATAATCCTCCAGGAGATCTTGGAAGACTGTAAGTCCCATCTCACCTGCTTAAAAAAGGCCTGAATCATGGAGGTGTAGAGCAGGCATGGGCAAACTTTGGCCCTCCCTCCAGGTGTTTTGGACTTCAACTCCCATAATTCCTAACAGGAAGTTGAAATCCAAAACCTCCCTCCTGGCCTTCAGGGAGAAAGTGAAGATATGGTTGTGGGACCAAGTCTTTGGACAAGGATTCCCGGTGCAATAACGAGTTCAGCAGCTCATCAGTTTAACCTGCTGCGCCAACAGGGGCCCAATATTATTATTATTATTATTATTATTATTATTAATAATAATAATAATATAGTAATAATAATAATGATAATGATGATGATAATAATAATAATAATAATAATAATAATAATAATAATAATACCATATATACTCGAGTATAAGCCGACCCGAATATAAGCCGAGGCACCTAATTTTACCACAAAAAACTGGGAAAATGTATTGACTCGAGTATAAGCCGAAGGTGGGAAATGCAGAAGTTATTGGTAAATTTCAAAATAAAAATGGATACCAATAAAATTACATTAATTGAGGCATTAGTAGGTTGATGTTTTTGAATATTTACAAAACACTGTAATTTAAGACTGTCTAACTCTGATTAAACCATTATTCTAACCTTCTTCAATGTAAATATGCTTACATATCCTTCCAATAATAATAAAGAGAGTAAAGTAATAAATGTAATAAAAAATAATAGAGCAAAATAATAATGTAAAATAATGAAATGTAATAATAACACTAATAATAGAGTAAAATAACAAATGTAATAATAACAATACAGTAAAATAATAAATGTAACAATAACAATAATAAATAGAGTAAAATAAATGTAATAATAACAACGATAATAAAATAATAAATGCAATAATAATAATAACAACAACAAAGTAAAATAATAAATAACATTGACTCGAGTATAAGCCGGGGGAGACTTTTTCAGCCTAAAAAAAGGACTGAAAAACTAGGCTTATACTTGAGTATATACAGTAATTAATATTATAGCAGAAACCCCAGAGGTCACCCAGTCCATCCTGCTTCTGCCATGCCGGAAAAGCACATTTAAAGCACCCCCAGCAGATGGCCATCCAGCCTTTGTAATAATAATAATAATAATAATAATAATAATAATAATAATAATAATAGCAGCATTAATAGAAGCCCCTCAATTTGCTCCACGGAGCACACTCTGAGAACTGCTGGCCTAGGGGGCATTTTGGAGTCCTTGGGGGGCCTCAGGGTCCCAAAACCTGCCCTTCCCTGGCATAGAAGAACTCCTTTGAGGGGAGCAGGTGACCCTGCTGGCTCCCACAATCCCTTCTTAGGATATGGAGGTGAGTGGAAACAAGCTTTCCAAGGGCAAAGGTACTTGTGTCCACCTGTTTCTGTTTCTAAATTGGCAGGTTTTTTACGTGACACAACTGTTGTCCTGTGTGGAAGCCATCGTTGAAGTGTGCCAAGAAGACTGTGGAGAAATCAGCCTCCAGCTCACCAAGGTTCTCATCACCATCATGGCCATCCCGCCCAATGTCGGGCATTTACATGTGAAGGTAATATTGACAGAATTGTCCTCATGGGCTTCCGTCTTCTGGTTTGGGCAACAAGCCTCCTGGCCTGAGCTGGCTCCAAATAACGCTTCATCTGTATGAAGGATGCAGCCGAGTATTTGCACATTGTACATTGTTTGTATGTGACAAATATGTTGTGGTTGTTGTTTTGTTGAAGTCTAATTATTTCTTCAACATTTGTTTATCTTTTCTCTGCCCAACAGTTAGAGGAAACAATGAACACATTGGCTGAGGTGCAGCAGTTAGCAGGGATTGTTGGCCTCTACCGACAGCATATGGCCCAGCTGATGGAGTGGGTGTCTCTGACTCACCCTCGGTGGACCTGCTACTCCCCAGAACTACTGCAGTTGGATGTCATTGCCACTCATTCAGGTATTTTATTTGGTACTAGCTATACCCGTGATCTTGCTGTGGCCAACCTTCCCTCCCTCTTTCTCTTTCTTTCTTTCTTTCTTTCTTTCTTTCTTTCTTTCTTTCTTTCTTTCTTTCTTTCCCTTTCTTTTTTCCTTCCCTCCTTCCTTCCTTCCTTCTCTCCTTTCCTTCCTTCTCTTTCTTCTTTCCCCCCTTTCTTCCCTTCCTTCCTTCTCCTTTCCTTCCTTCCTCTTTCCTTCCTCCCTCCCCCCTCTCCTCCCCCTCTTCCTTCTTCTTCCTCCTTCCTTCCTTCCTTCCTTCCTTCCTTCCTTCCTCCCTCCCTCCCTCCTCCCTTCCTTCTTTCCTCCTTCTTCCCTCTTTCCTTCCTCCCCCCTTCCTTCCTTCCTCTTTCCTCCCTCCACCCTTCCTTCTTCCCTTCCTTCTCTCTTTTCCTTCCTTCTCCTCCCTCCCTCTCTCCTTTTCTCCTTCCTTCCCTTTTCCTTCTTCCCTCCCTCCCTCCTCTTTCCTTCCTTCCCTTCCTCCTCCCTCCTCCTCCTTCCTTCCTTCCTTCCTTCCTTCCTTCCTTCCTTCCTTCCTTCCTTCCCTCTTTCCTTCCTCCCTCCCTCCCTCCCTCCCTTCCTTCCCTCTTTCCTTCCTTCCCTTTTTCCTTCCTCCCTTCCCTCCTTCCCTCTTTCCTTCCTTCCTTCCCTCTTTCCTCCCTCCCACCTTGTATTCCCTTCCTTCCCTCTTTCCTTCCTCCCATCCTTCCTTCCCTCTTTCCTTCCTCCCTCCCTCCCTTCTATCCTTCCTTCCTCCCACCCTTTCTTCCTTCCCTCTTTCCTCCCTCCCTCCCTCCCTTCCTTCTTTCTTTCCTTCCTTCTCTCCTTCCTTCCTTCCTTCCTTCCTTCCTTCCTTCCTTCCCTCCCTCCCTCCCTCCCTCCCTCCTTCCTTCCTTCCTTCCTTCCCTCCCTCCCTCCCTCCCTCCCTCCCCTCCTCCCTCTTCCTTCCTTCCCTCTTTCCTTCCTCCCTCCCTCCCTTCCTTCTTTCCTTCCTTCCCTCTTTCCTCCCTCCCTCCCTCCCTTCCTTCCTTCCTTCCTTCCTTCCTTCCTTCCTTCCCTCTTTCCTCCCTCCCTCCCTCCCTCCCTCCCTCCCTTCTTCCCTCTTTCCTTCCTTCCCTTTTTCCTTCTCCTTCCCTCCTTCCCTCTTTCCTTCCTTCCTCCCTCCCTTCCTTATTCCCTTCCTTCCCTCTTTCCTTCCTCCCATCCTTCCTTCCCTCTTTCCTTCCTCCCTCCCTCCCTTCTATCCTTCCTTCCTCCCACCCTTTCTTCCTTCCCTCTTTCCTCCCTCCCTCCCTCCCTTCCTTCCTTCTTTCCTTCCTTCTCTCTTTCCTCCCTCCTTCCCTCCCTTCCGTCTTTCCTTCCTTCCCTTCCCTCCCTCTCCTCCCTCCCTTCCTTCCTTCCTTCCTTCCTCCTTCCTTCCTTCCTTCCTTCCCTCTTTCCTTCCTCCCTCCCTCCCTTCCTTCCTCTTTCCTTCCTTCCTTTTCCTTCCTCCCTTCCCTCCTTCCTCTTTCCTTCCTTCCTTCCTCCCTCTTCCTCCCTCCCCTTCCTTATTCCTTCCTTCCTTCCCTCTTTCCTTCCTCCCTCCTTCCTTCCCTCTTTCCTTCCCCCTCCCTCCCTTCTTCCTTCCTCTCCCCCCTTTCTTCCTTCCCTCTTTCTCCCTCCCTCCTCCCTTCCTTCTTTTCTTTCCTTCCTTCTCTCTTTCCTCCCTCCTTTCCCTCCCTTCCTTTCCTTCCTTCCCTCCCTCCCTCCCTCCTCCCTCCTTCTTCCTTCCTTCCTTCCTTCCTTCCTTCCCTTCCTTCCCTCCCTCCCTCTCCTCCTCCCTCCCTCCCTCCCTCCCTCCCTTCCTTCCTCTTTCCTTCCTTCCTTCTTCCTCCCTTCCCTCCTTCCCTCCTTCCTTCCTTCCTTCCTTCCCCTTTCCTCTCCTCCCTTCCTTTTCCCTTCCTTCCTTCCTCTTTCCCTTTCCTCCCTCCTTCCTTCTTCCCCTTCCTTCCCTCCCTCCCTCCCTTCTTCCTTCTCCCTCCCTCCCTTCCTTCCTTCTTTCCTTCCTTCCTCTCCTCCTCCTCCTTCCTCTTTCCTTCCTTCCCTCCTCCCTCCTCCCTCCCTCCCTTCCTTCCTTCCTTCCTTCCTTCTTCCTCTTTCCTTCCTCCCTCCCTCCCTCCCTCCCTTCCCTTCCTTCCCTCTTCCTTCCTTCCCTTTTTCCTTCCTCCCTTCCCTCCTTCCCTCCTTTCCTCCTTCCTTCCTTCCCTCCTTCTCTCCCTCCCTTCCTTATTCCCTTCTCCTTCCCTCTTCCTTCCTCCCTCTCCTTCCCTCTTCCTTCCTCCCTCCCTCCTTCTTCCTTCCTTCCTCCCCCCTTTCTCCTTCCCTCTTTCCTCCCTCCCTCCCTCCCTTCCTTCTTTCCTTCCTTCTCTCTTTCCTTCCCTCCCTCCCTTTCCTCTTTCCTTCCTTCCTCCCTCCCCCTCCCTCCCTCCCTCCCTCCCCCCTCCCTCCCTCCCTCCCTCCTCCCTCTTCTTCCTCCTCCCTCCCTTCTTTCCTTCCTTCCTTCCTCTTTCCTTCCTCCCACCCTTCTTTCTTCCCTCTTTCCCTCCCTCCCCTCCCTCCCTTCTTCTTCCTTCCTTCCCTCTTTCCTTCCTCCCACCCTTCCTTCCTTCCCTCTCTTCCTCCCTCCCTTCCCTCCCTCCTTCTCCTTCCTTCCTTCCCTCCCTCCCTTCTTTCCTTCCTCCCTTCTCCTCCTCCCCTTCTTCCTTCCTTCCTCCTTCCTCTTTCCTTCCTTCCCCTTCCTTCCTTCCTCTTTCCTTCCTCCTTCCTTCCTCCCTCCCTTCCTTCCTTCCCTCTTTCCTTCCTTCTTTCCTTCCTCCCTTCCCTCCTTCCCTCTTTCCTTCCTTCCTTCCCTCTTTCCTCCCTCCCTCCCTTCCTTCCTCCCTTCCTCCCTTCCCTTTCCTTCCTTCCTTCCTTCCCTCTTTCCTTCCCTTTTTTTCTTTCATTCTCTCCTTTCTTCCTTCTCTTCCTCTTCCCCTCCTTCCACCCCCCTTCTCTTTCCCTTCTCTTTCTCCCCTTTCTTCCTTCTCTACCTATTCTTGGACTGCAACTCCCAGCAGTCCTCCTGATCTACCTACCTACCTATCTCTATCTGATCTATCTATCTGGAGGATTGCTGGGAGTTGCAGTCCAGGAATAGTAAATTGCAGGGATTGGGATGCTCTCAAAGAAATCCAAGGAGAAGAAAGCTTGCAGCTTGGAAGCAGTGCATTTGGATCATCCTCCTCTTCTAAAGGGCCTGGTCTAGGGGATGCTGGGAGCTGTAGTTCGGAAGAGAGTGTGGATATGCTATTGTGTGTTTTGTTGGCTTGGGGAGTGATTTTTGCGCATGCGCTGTAGCATCTTTTTGCATTTTTGACTTTTTAAGTCCCTTCTGCTGTGTTTTTCAGTGTTTTTATGAGTGATGGTCACTCGTTGGCCTGATAGGTGTATTTTGTCCAAATTTGGTGTCACTTCGTCCAGCGGCTACTTTGTCCTTGGTGTTCAAGCAGTGTTGTCAATATGCTACTCATTCAGGTAATATGGAAAGAGCAGGGTCAGTGTGAATTCATATATCCTTAAATCTAATTCTTAGTCTTAGGTGTAGAAATTGAGGCCTAGTCAAAAACACTTCTGTAACATCGTACACGAGCCCACCCAGTGGCCAAAGTTAGAAGGAACCTTCTTTGCTTTGCATCTGTAGGCTTTTTGGAAGCACCTTTTTTCACCTGCTAGTGCAATTAAACCCTATTTCCGTCCCCCGGATCCCCTGTCCAGATACATTATATTGCTCTCTCACCCAGTGTTTTTAAACTTTTAATCCTTGCAACCGGCCCTGCCCACTATGATTAATTCCCTGCCTTCAAATATTGTGATTTTATATTGTCTGTTGTGTTTATTTATAATGTTAAATGTCCTTTGACCAGTAACTTTGTGTTTGTTTGTTTGTTTGTTTGTTTAAAAAAATGCTATGCAACTGTTTGGTCTGTTCCTGACACGATAAATAAATAATCATAGAATCATAGAATCATAGAATCAAAGAGTTGGAAGAGACCTCTTGGGCCATCCAGTCCAACCCCATTCTGCCAAGAAGCAGGAATATTGCATTCAAATCACCCCTGACAGATGGCCATCCAGCCTCTGTTTAAAAGCTTCCAAAGAAGGTGCCTCCACCACACTCCGGGGCAGAGAGTTCCACTGCTGAACGGCTCTCACAGTCAGGAAGTTCTTCCTCATGTTCAGATGGAATCTCCTCTCTTGTAGTTTGAAGCCATTGCTCCATTGCGTCCTAGTCTCCAGGGAAGCAGAAAACAAGCTTGCTCCCTCCTCCCTGTGGCTTCCTCTCACATATTTATACATGGCTATCATATCTCCTCTCAGCCTTCTCTTCTTCAGGCTAAACATGCCCAGCTCCTAAGCCGCTCCTCATAGGGCTTGTTCTCCAGACCCTTGATCATTTTAGTCGCCCTCCTCTGGACACATTCCAGCTTGGGTCAACATCTCTCTTGAATTGTGGTGCCCAGAATTGGACACAATATTCCAGGTGTGGTCTAACCAAAGCAGAATAGAGGGGTAGCATTACTTCCTTAGATCTAGACACTATGCTCCTATTGATGCAGGCCAAAATCCCATTGGCTTTTTTTGCCGCCACATCACATTGTTTCTTGTATTTTATTTTATTTTATTTTTATATTTTATTGTTGTATTCACATGTTGTACATTTGCATTGTTGTACTGCTGGGCTTGGCCTCATGTAAGCTGCTCCGAGTACCTTGGGGAGATGGTGGCAGGATATAAATAAAGATTATTATTATTATTATTATTATTATTATTATTATCAGGGATACCTTAAGTTAGGAGTTTGTTTTGTTCCATGACTGAGCTCTCAACTCAAACCCTTCTTATTATCTGCCAGTCTTTGTGACCACATGTCCCCCTATGAACCAATGCGGGTTCTAGGTCTGCTGGCTGTTATTTTGGATCACAAGTCGGACACTTCCCAAGTGTCTTAAGACTGTGTGATGTATCAGCGAATAATGCATGCTGATCTGAGTAGTGTGATCTTTTGACACTGGCAGGTGGTGATTTTGTCAGCGCCAATTGTTTTTAAGTGCTAGTCAAGGTCTTGAGGCACTGCACCCAGTGTGCCAATCACCACTGGGACCATGTTGAACACTTCCCAAGTGTCTAGGACTGTGTGATGTATCGGTGAATAATGCGTGGAGATCCGAGTAGGGTGGCTTTTTGCAGTTGACAGGAGGTAATTTTGTCAGTGCCGATCATTTGTCTTGAGGCACTGCACCCAGTGTGCCCATCACCACTGGGACCACATTGAACACTTCCCAAGAGTCCAGGACTGAGTGATGTATCAGCAAATAATGCGTGCTGATCTGAGTAGTGTGATTTTTTGTAGCTGACAAGTGGTGATTTTGCCAGCACCAATTGTTTTTAAGTACAGGCCAAAGTCGAGGCACTGCACCCATTGTGCCCATTACCACTGGGACCATGTTGAACACTTCCCAAGAGTCTAGGTCTGTGTGATGTATCAGTGAATAATGCATGCTGATCTGACAGCTGACAGGTGGTGATTTCGTCAGTGCTGATTGTTTTTAACTGCAAGCCAGGGACTTGAGGCACTGCACCCAGCGCGCCAATCACCACTGGGACCATATTGAACACTTCCCAACAGTCTAGGACTGTGTGATGTATCAGTGAATAATGCGTGCTAATCTGAGTAGTGTGATCTTTTGCAGCTGACAGGTGGTGATTTTGTCAGTGCTGATTGTTTTTAAGTGCAGGCCAAGGTCTTGAGTCACTGCACCCAGTGTGCCCATCATCACTGGGACCATGTTGAACACTTCCCAATAGTCTATGACTGTGTGATGTATCAGCGAATAATGCGTGCTGATCTGACTGCTGACAGGTGGTGATTTTGTCAGTGCTTATTGTTTTTAAGTGCAGGCCAAGGTCTTGAGGCACTGCACCCAACCCAGTGTGTCGATCACCACAGGGATGACATTGAACACTTCCCAAGAGTCTAGGACTGTGTGATGTATCAGCGAATAATGCATGTTGATCTGAGTAGTGTGACCTTTTGCAGCTGACAGGTGGTAATTTTGTCAGCGACAATCATTTGTCTTGAGGCACGGCACCCAGTGTGCCAATCACCACTGGGACCACATTGAACGTTTTCCAAGAGTTTAGGACAGTGTGATGTATCGGTGAATAATGTGTGGAGATCCCCATGGGATGGCCATTTGCATCTGACAGGTGGTAATTTTGTCAGTGCTGATTGTTTTAAAGTGCAGGCCAAGGTCTTGAGACACTGCACCCAGTGTGCCCATCACCACTGGGACCATGTTGAACACTTCCCAAGAGTCGAGGACTGTGTGATGTATCAATGAAATGCATGGAGATCCAAGTAGGGTGGCCTTTTGCAGCTGACAGGTGGTAATTTTGTCAGTGCTGATCATTTGTCTTGAGGCACTGCACCCAGTGTGCCGATCACCACTGGGACCACATTGAACACTTCCCAAGAGTCTAGGACAGTGTGATGTATCGGTGAATAATGTGTGGAGATCCCTATAGTGTGGCCATTTGCAGCTGACAGGTGGTGATTTTGTCAGCGCCAATTGTTTTTAAGTGCTGGCTAAGGTCTTGAGGCACTGCACCCAGTATGCCCATCACCACTGGGACCACATTGAACACTTCCCAAGAGTCTAGGATTGTGTGATATATCAGCTAATAATGCGTGCTGGTCCGAGTAGTGTGATCTTTTGCAGCTGACAGGTGGTGATTTTGCCAGCACCAATTGTTTTTAAGTACAGGCCAAAGTCTTGAGGCACTGCACCCAGTGTGCCCATCACCACTGGGACCCCGTTGAACACTTCTCAAGAGTCTAGGACTGTGTGATATCAGTGAATAATGCGTGCTGATCTGACAACTGACAGGTGGTGATTTTGTCAGCGCTGATTGTTTTTAAGTGCAGGCCAAGGTCTTGAGGCACTGCACCCAGCATGCCGATCACCACTGGGACCACATTGAACACTTCCCAAGAGTCTAGGACTGTGTGATGCATCAGCAAATAATACATGCTGATCTGAGTAGTGTGATCTTTTGCAGCTGACAGGTGGTAATTTTGTCAGCGCTGATCATTTGTCTTGAGGCACTGCACCCAGTGTGCCKYTCACCACTGGGACACTGTTGAATACTTCCCAAGAGTCTAGGACTGTGTGATGTATCGGCGAATAATGTGTGCTGATCTGAGTAATGTGACCTTTTGCAGCTGACAGGTGCTAATCTTGTCAGCGCTGATTGTTTTTAAGTGCCGGCCAAGGTCTTGAGGCACTGCACCCAGCGTGCCGATCACCACTGGGACCATGTTGAACACTTCCCAAGAGTCTAGGACTGTGTGATGTATCAGCGAATAATGCGTGCTGATCTGACAGCTGACAGGTGGTGATTTCGTCAGCGCTGATTGTTTTTAAGTGCAGGCCAGGGACTTGAGGCACTGCACCCAGTGTGTCCATCACCACTGGGACTCCCTTGACTGGCTTGTGCTAGAGTCTTTGCAGTTCGATCTTTAAATCCTCATATTATTATTATTATTAAGAATAATAATCTGTGTTTGTTTTCTAGGCCCGGTAATAGGTGAGGCTCTTCCAAGTTTCATTCCCATTCTTCAAACGTGCCTTCAGACGTCTGTAGACCCTCGAGTACGTCTGAAGCTGTTCGTGACCTTATCCCAGTTGCTTCAGAAGCCAGAGGAGACCCTCAATTCTCAAGGGTGAGCACCATTTCATATCACTCCTGCACTACTTGCCTGTGAGACCGTTCAGTTTGGTCCTCGGGTGCAAAAATGTAAACATTGCATAGAAATATCGATACCATTAATGCACAAAATGTTTTAAAACACTATTACCTTCCAAGTTGCATTCAGATTTTAGAGCAATGCTTGTGGATATTCCAACTGTGAATACCAGGCAACTGATGATATTGTAGGCATCATATTGTTTTCCACCTGATCTTTACATGCAAATCATGCATGGTGAACTGTTATTACCTAGTGAGATTTGATTTATTTCTGCCAGATAATGTGCATATGCACAGGGTGCATGATGAGGAAGTAAAAGGAAGCTCCAGAGGAGAAGGGATATTACAAAGGGTGGACCTGGCTTTGGGGAAACAGCATGGGAGGGCATTTGAGAAGCAACCTGTGGCAAACTTTGGGCACACCCTTCCATCTCTCTTTATTGGAGCCAGCTATATATAGAAAGTCCCTGTCCTTCTTAATTCCATGCTGAGCAACCATTTGTATTGATTTAATTGGAATGATAACCCTTGGCATTTGGCAATCTCTGCTGGGAATAGAAATTGGTTCCAGTAATTGAGAAATTTTGAGAAAGCAGAAGTATTGCTGGCAACGGCTACTCCTTCTGAATTGGTCCTAAGAATGACAAGAGCAGAGAAGGACACCAAATTAAGAGGGAGAGCCAAGACTCCAGAGGACAGGAGCAGAATTCAAAACGGTCTTGACAGATTAGAGAGATGATGGGCCAAAACTAACAAAATGAAGTTCAACAGTGACAAATGCAAGATACTCCACTTTGGCAGGAAAAACGAAATGCAAAGAGACAGAATGGGGGACGATGAGGCCTGGCTCGAGAGCAGTGCGTGTGAAAAAGATCTTGGAGTCCTCGTGGACAACAAGTTAAACATGAGCCAACAATGTGATGTGGCGGCAAAAAAAGCCAATGGGATTTTGGCCTGCATCAATAGGAGCATAGTGTCTAGATCCAGGGAAGTCATGCTCCCATCTATTCTGCCTTGGTTAGACCACACCTGGAATATTGTGTCCAATTCTGGGCACCACAATTCAAGAGAGATATTGACAAGCTGGAATGTGTCCAGAGGAGGGCGACTCAAAATGATCAAGGGTCTGGAGAACAAGCCCTACGAGGAGCGGCTTAACGAGCTGGGCATGTTTAGCCTGAAGAAGAGAAGGCTGAGAGGAGATATGATAGCCATGTATAAATATGTGAGAGGAAGCCACAGGGAGGAGGAGGGAGCAAGCTTGTTTTCTGCTTCCCTGGAGACTAGGACGCGGACCAATGGCTTCAAACTACAAGAGAGGAGATTCCATCTGAACATTAGGAAGAACTTCCTGACTGTGAGAGCCGTTCAGCAGTGGAACTCTCTGCCCCGGAGTGTGGTGGAGGCTCCTTCTTTGGAAGCTTTTAAACAGAGGCTGGATCTGTCAGGGGTGATTTGAATGCAATATTCCTGCTTCTTGGCAGAATGGGGGTGGACTGGATGGCCCATGAGGTCTCTTCCAACTCTAGGATTCTATGATTCAGGCGTATTCCTTCTGACCAAAAAACATGAATAATGTGTTGTCAAAGGCTTTCATGGCCTGAATCTCTGGGTTGCTATGAGTTTTCCAGGCTGTCTAGTCATATCCCAGAAGCATTCTCTCCTGACACTTCGCCCCCATCTATGGCAGGCATCCTCAGAGGTTGTGAGGTCTGTTGGAAACGAGGCAAGTCAGGTTTATATATCTGTGGAACGTCCCAGGTGGGAGAAAGAACTCTTGTCTGCGTGAGGCAAGTGTGAACGTTGCCATTGGCCAGCTTGATTAGCATTATTTATTTATCTATTTATTTATTTATTTAAAACTTTTGGATACCAATCTTTTCTACCTCCGTAGAGGTACTCAGACCGGCTAACAGCAAGTATTCAAGTCTTTGAACTGCAAAGACTCAGACACAAGCCAGTTAAGGGGGTCCCAGTGGTGATTGGCACACTGGGTGTAGTGCCTCAAGACCTTGACCTGCACTTAAACACAATCGGTGCTGACAAGATTACCATCTGCCCGCTGCAAAAGGCCACCTTACTGGGATCTATGATTCTATGATTCTATGATCTGCACACATTATTCGCCCAAACATGACACAATCCTAGACACTTGGGAAGGGTCCGATGTGTGATTCAATGCAACAACCAGCAGAGTGATCTTGTCTGTTGTGGACTCATCTTGTTCTGTTTCAAATAATAATAATCATCATTATCATCATCATCTTTATTTATACCCCACCACCATCTCCCCAAAGGAGACTTGTGGCCAAGCCCAAAAATAATACAGCAAAATAAGAAACAAAACAACAGAAAATTAAACACAACAAAATGCATAATGTCACAAAATAAACAGTGCAAAATAACATAATAACATGCACCTTTTCACCATCTCATAGGCGCCATAATCAGGCAACAGGAGATGAGTGGATGTGTGTCTGTGTGTGTGTGTGTGTGTGTGTGTGTGTGTGTTGATGGTTCACACTGACAGGCTTGAGTGCACCCTGCTAATGGCATCTCAATTTGCTGAACAAGCCGCCAGTGTGATTCTCGGTTTGCTTCAGAGTATTAAACATGACATCCTTTGAGGCGGCCTTACCTTCCGAGAGAGCATTCCATTGCCGAGAGGTAAGCCTTCCTGCTGAAACCCACCTTTTGTGGTTTTGACACGTTTTATTTAAGGGATTGGGGGGGGGGGGGGGCCATTACCCAGAATACGAAAGCTCCCCAGGGGTCAGTTGGCCTGGACCACCTTAGAGCTCAAGGCGGCTTTGAAGTAACTTGATAGAAGCAACACATTCTGGGGGAGATTCCCTTGGCGGTTGACCAGGGAGGTGTTTCTGGTCAGTTGAACATCAGATCCAGGGATAAGGATTCAGCCTGTTTCGGGTGGAGGGGCCTTTCACCGCCATCTTCGGAGAGATAGAGATACTGTGCAGGTAAAAGATGCAGGTTTTAGGAGCCTAGTGTCTAGATCTAGGGAAGTAATGCTCCCCATGCTCTATTCTGCCTTGGTTGGACCACATCTGGAATATTGTGTCCAGTTCTGGGCACCACAATTCAAGAGAGATATTGACAAGCTGGAATGTGTCCAGAGGAGAGCGACTAAAATGATAAAAGGTCTGGAGAACAAGCCCTATGAGGAGCGGCTTAAGGAGCTGGGCATGTTTAGCCTGAAGAAGAGAAGGCTGAGAGGGGATATTATAGCCATGTATAAATATGTGAGAGGAAGCCACAGGGAGGAGGGAGCAAGCTTGTTTTCTGCTTCCTTGGAGACTAGGACGCGGAACAATGGCTTCAAACTACAAGAGAGGAGATTCCATCTGAACATGAGGAAGAACTTCCTGACAGTGAGAGCCGTTCAGCAGTGGAACTCTCTGCCCCGGAGTGTGGTGGAGGCTCCTTCTTTGGAAGCTTTTAAACAGAGGCTGGATGGCCATCTGTCAGGGGTGATTTGAATGCAATATTCCTGCTTCTTGGCAGAATGGGGTTGGACTGGATGGCCCAGGAGGTCTCTTCCAACTCTAGGATTCTAGAATTCATGGTGTGCTTTATTTTCTGCCTATTGGTGCAATTAAACCCTACTTTCGTCCCTCTGATCCCCTGTCCAGATTCAATACATTGCCTTCTGTGATTTATTTTCTGTGTTTACGTTGTTGTGACTAGCCGTCCCCTGCCAGGCGTTGCTGTGGCCCAGCCTGGTGATCTGGAAAATAAAGTCATGAGAGAGTGTGGGTTTCTAATATATGTGATGTCTTTATGCTTGTGGGTAAACAATATTTCTTGCTGTTTCATTAAGTCGTGTCTAACTCTGGGGGTTGGTGCTCATCTCCATTTCTAAGATACCTCCAAGGCTATGTGGCTGCTGACATGACTGCATGGAGCACGGTTACCTTCCTGCCAGAGCCGTACCTATTGATCTACTCACATTTGCATGTTTTCGAACTGCTAGGTTGGCAGAAGCCGAGCCTAACAGCAGGAGCTCAGCTGGCTCCCCGGATTCAAACTGCCGACCTTTCAGTCAGCAAGTTCAGCAGCTCAGCGGTTTAAACTGCTGCGCCACCGTAAAAAATATTGCTTTTAAATCATGTTCTCAAGAGACCAAAAATAGGTAGTCTTCATTAAAAGTAACATAGTTGATTTACTTACAAATTTCATTACATTCTTCTTATAAACAGAGGATGGATGGCCATCTGTCAGGGGTGATTTGAATGTAATATTCCTGCTTCTTGGCAGAATGGGGTTGGACTGGATGGCCCATGAGGTCTCTTCCAACTCTTTGATTCTATGATTCAGCATCCAGGTACATTGCTTATTGGTTGAGAGTTTAAACAGTAAGTTCTCTAAAGCATTCTGTTTCGGTCTCTTCTTTGTCGCATACAGACTAACACTCTCTTCGGTCTAATACGTTACTGAACATTGACTCAATACAGACCGACAATGCACTGCGACATACTGACACTAAACATACCGACTTCTAAAACGGAGTCTCAGTCTGAATAGTCCCAGATCTGGTCGCAGATCTGATCTTGACAAGCTGGAATGTGTCCAGAGGAGAGTGACTCAAATGATCAAGGGTCTGGAGAACAAGCCCTGTGAGGAGCGGCTTAAAGAGCTGGGCATGTTTAGCCTGCAGAAGAGAAGAATGAGAGGAGACATGATGAGGACCATGTGAGGGGAAGTCCTAGGGAGGAGGGAGGGAGCTTCCTTTCTGCTTCCATTGAGATTAGGACAAGGAACAATGGCTTCAAACTACAAGAAAGGAGATTCCATCTGAACATGAGGAAGAACTTCCTGACTGGGAGAGCCGTTCAGCAGTGGAACTCTCTGCCCCGAAGTGTGGTGGAGGCTCCTTCTGTGGAGGCTTTTAAACAGAGGCTGGATGACCATCTGTCAGGGGTGATTTGAATGCAATATTCCTGCTTCTTGGCAGAATGGGGTTGGACTGGATGGCCCATGAGGTCTCTTCCAACTCTAGGATTCTAGGATTCTATGCACTGCAGAATACTGACCCTACCCACTTGGCCCGGCCTAGTTTTACTGTGTTATGGTGTACTGTTTTTATTGTTTACCGTTATTACTTTAACGTTTTGATTTGCGTTATGGTTTATGTGTATTTGTTATATTTGCGTTTTGATTTGCGTTATGGTTTATGTGTATTTGTTATATTGTTGTTTTGTTGAGGCCTTGGCCTTTGTAAGCCGCATCGAGTCCTTCGGGAGATGCTAGCGGGGTACAAATAAAGTTACCGTATATTCCGGCATATAAGACGACTGGGGGTATAAGACGACTCCCAACTTTTCCAGTTAAAATATAGAGTTAAGACGACAGCCATGCATAAGACTACACCCGCATATAAGACGACCCCTGACTTTTGAGAAGATTTTCTTGGGTTAAAAAGTAGTCTTATACGCCAGAATATACTGTAATAATAATAATAATAAACATACTGAGTTCTAAAATGGAGTCTCAGTCTGAATAGTCCCAGATCTGGTCACATGGTCTGCAATCCCTCCCACAACCTTAGACAACATAACTGCATATTAAATTATATACATGCAATATAGTAAACTATCACAATTATATAAATAACAAATAACTAGCATAGGAGGCTTATAGAAGGTTGCTATGTCCAACAGGATGGCCATCTGTTGGGGGTGCTTTGATTCTGCTCTCCTGCATGGCACAAAGGGTTGCACTATGGCTCATGGGGTGTCTTCCAACTCTGTGATTTGAAGGTTGAGGAGTGCCAGTTGTTTGATATGTCGAATTGTAGTTTTAAGCCCTATCGTGGCAGGAAGGAGTGGGTTAGTCTCGAGTGCATGAATTTTATTATTACGGTCACAAGAGTACCAATTATTTACTTTACTTTACTTTACTTATATACCCCTGTTCTCAGCCCGAAGGCGACTCACAGCGGTTCACAACAAATAAGAAACAGCAAAAATTCAATGCTACCGTGTAAAAACAGTTAACAACCTAACATATTACATAATTAATAAACAATTACTACAATAACCATTCACTATTCACTATGGTCTCCAGATTCGTCATCCATTATTCCGTTCCAATGTTCATTAACCAATTATTGCAGTAATTATTCGAACGCCTGCTCAAACAGCCAGGTCTTCACTTTTCTGCGGAATACCATTAGAGATGGTGCTAGTCTAATGTCCGTAGGAAGGGCGTTCCACAGCCGAGGAGCCACCACCGAGAAGGCCCTATCTCTCGTCCCCGCCAGCCGTGCTTGAGAAGCAGGCGGGATCGAGAGCAGGGTCTCCCCGGAAGATCTCAAAGTCCTGGTGGGTTCATAGGCAGAGATGCGGTCGGATAGGTAGCTTGGGCCGGAACCGTTTAGGGCTGTAAAGGCCAACGCCAGCACTTTGAATTGAGCCCGGTAGCAGATCGGTAGCCAGTGGAGTTGGCGCAACAGGGGGGTTGTATGCTCCCTGCGCTCCGCTCCTGTTAAAATCATGGCTGCCGAGCGTTGGACTAGTTGGAGCTTCCGAGCCGTCTTCAAAGGCAACCCCACGAGTGTGCAACACTGAAGTCAGAGGTTGTTTTCTGAAACATGGTTATGCTAAGACCACAAATTCATAGCCTTAATCCCGAGACACCAGAGCAAGGGATGGATCAAGCTCACAACACATACTGTTGGCAGGAAGATCCTTGCCTCTCCTCTTCCCGAAATTTTGTTTACACAGAGCCCACTTATCTCACCCTTGAAAGAAATTTGCGTAATGAGATATCGTTAACATAGACTGTCATCGAGGAGGGGTCTCCGCCCTCCTCCCGCTTCTGTATCGCGCTCTGTTCTTCCTTGTCCGGCTATCTTGTTGTCAAGAGGGAAAATGTGCCTTTTCATCCTCTCTGTCATCCCGTCATGTTTGCACGCACACACACAAACGGCTCCTCTTTGTTCTTGGCTCCAGGCAGTTCGGGAACTACCTTGAGACGGTGATAAAAGACATCCTGGCTCCTAATCTGCAGTGGCAAGCGGGAAGAACCGCAGCTGCCATTCGCACGACGGCCGTCTCCTGCCTCTGGGCCCTGATTTACAGTAAACTCCTTTCTGCAGAAGAGGTAAGTGTCCCCCCTTTCCCCCCTGCCCGAAACAACGGAGTCAAGTCAAGCCTTTGCCAAAATGCGCCTTAGACGAGATCGGAATGAGGTTTAGCCTGAAAACTAAAGTGAAGAGGAAGAAAGAGCAATATTATTTATTTGTCGTGTCAGAACAACCAGTCTAACAGAACAAAGCAAACAAACAGAAAAATACACAACTTGTGAGTTTGGTAGCTGGTTAAATGTCCTTTGACCAGTATCTGGCCACTTGGAGTGCTTCCGGTGTTGCTGCAAGAAGGTCCTCCATTGTGCATGTGGCAGGGCTCAGGTTGCATTGCAGCAGGTGGTGTGTGGTTTGCTCTTCTCCACACTCGCATGTCGTGGACTCCACTTTGTGGCCCCATTTCTTCAGGTTGGCTCTGCATCTCGTGGTGCCAGAGCGCAGTCTGTTCATGCCTTCCAAGTCGCCCAGTCTTCTGTGTGCCCAGGAGGGAGTCTCTCATTTGGTATCAGCCATTGGTTGAGGTGCTGGGTTTGAGCCTGCCACTTTTGGACTCTCGCTTGCTGAGGTGTTCCAGCGAGTGTCTCTGTAGATCTTAGAAAACTATGTCTAGATTTAAGTCGTTGGCGTGCTGGCTGATACCCAAACAGGGGATGAGCTGGAGATGTCTCTGCCTTGGTCCTTTCACTATTGGCTGCTACTTCCCGGCGGATGTCAGGTGGTGCAATACCGGCTAAGCAGTGTAATTTCTCCAGTGGTGTAGGGCGCAGACACCCCATGATAATGCGGCATGTCTCATTAAGAGCCACATCCACTGTTTTAGTATGGTGAGATGTGTTCCACACTGGGCATGCATACTCAGCAGCAGAGTAGCACAGCGCAAGGGCAGATGTCTTCACTGTATCTGGTTGTGATCCCCAGGTTGTGCCAGTCAGCTTTCGTATGATATTGTTTCTGGCACCCACTTTTTGCTTGATGAGCAATGAGAAAGAGCAATGAGCCAGTTAAAAAGCCGTGACACTTTTGCTGGGCGAGTGGGCTTATTAACCAAAGACCCTTCTCATAAATGTCTAGCAGAGTAACTTAGCAGCAGCAGCGTGACCCAGCAACAGTAGTCCAAAAGGGAAAAAAGCACAAACACACAGACCAATGCTATCTCTTCCAAATCTCTTTATAGCAAAAAAAAATTTGTCGTGTCAGGAGCAAGTCGCTTCTGGTGTGAGAGAATTGGCCGTCTGCAAGGACGTTGCCCAGGGGACGCCTGGATGATTTGATGTGGGAGGCTTCTCTCATGTCCCCGTATGAGGAGCTGGAGCTGATAGAGGGAGCTCATCCGCCTCTCCCCGGATTCGAACCTGCGGCCTGTCGGTCTTCAGTCCTGCCGGCACAGGGGTTTAACCCACTGCGCCACTGGGGGCTCCTATATAGCAAAATAATATAGTTGTACTATTTACAAGAACAAGGTTCCCATGACACAAATAAAGTTCTTTATACTTCCTTCTTTGCTTCCACGCTGGGCTTCTTTCACATGCAGATAAACAGCTTCGTTCTCACACAGAGCCTCTTCTCACACCAGTTACACAGGAACTTCACACAGTAGCTTATTTACACACCACAGCCATCACACACAATTATTTCATTATTGGTGAATTTTTTTTATGACAGAACTTATTAGGAACTGCCATTTATAATGAAATTTTGGAAATTTTGTTAGAGTTCTGAAATTTTCACCAACAGAACTTTAGCAACACTGTAGAAACAAAGCACCAGCACCCCCTAGTTTTCACCACGAGACTGGAGCTCACCCCACTCTCCAGATTCAAACTGCTGACCTTTTGGTCAGCAGTCCTGCTGGCATGAGGGTTTAACCCATTGCTCCACTGGGGTCTCCTTCTCCTGTATTGGGGGTCAGGGAAGTTTCCTGGCTTCCCCACAACCTCAAAACTTATCAGAGAGCTTCCTTTACAAACCTCATCTCCAAAAGTATGTGAAGGTTTTTGTCCAACTGTTAGTCAAGTGCACTTGCCCCCCAAAATTATTGAAAGTCATCCTCCTCCGCACCCCCAAACGTTGCGCTTGCATTTGTGGCAAGCATCCTCAATATTCTGTCTAATTTGGCTCATGGGAGACTGAGCAAGAGAAATACAAAGCGGCAAGGAAAGGAGGCAGGTTGTAATCCCAAGTGTGGGAAGGTTTGGGTCTGAGAAGGGAAAGCATTGGTTGGGCGCATACATTTGCACATGAGCCCCATCTTCTGGAACGCTATAGAAGTGCAGACTTTGAATGTCAGAAATGTATTCAGGTGCTACCTTAGTTTGTAAACTGTGTTCCAAAGGCTCCTGAAGGGTTAGGATTTTGTAGCTTTGCAGAAATATACTAATCCCATGGAGTGGAAGGGACAGATATTCGGAAAATTGCCTTGAGGGAAAATGTGGTCCAGAGAGTTGTTTTGGGAACATCAAAAAACTTCAGCTTTCAGTCTAGGTACAACTAAAAGCTTCAGAAGATCCAACCAGTCCATACTTCAAGAAAGAAAGCCCGACTGCTCATTGGATTGAAGGACATTAGAGGCCAAGATGAAGTCCTTTGGCCACATCATGAGAAGGAAGGAAAGCTTAGAGAAGACAATTATGCTGGGGGAAAAGGAAGAGGGGCCGACCAAGGGCAAGGCGTTTGGATGGCATCCTTGAAGTGACTGGATTGACTTCGAAGGAGCTGGGGGTGGTGACGGCCGACAGGGAGCTCTGGCGTTGGCTGGTCCATGAGGTCACAAACAGTTGGAAAAAGGAAGGGGGGCTGACCAAGGGCAAGGTGGATGGATGGGATCCTTGAAGTGACTGGATTGACTTTGAAGGAGCCGGGGGTGGTGACGGCCGACAGGGAGCTCTGGCGTGGGCCGGTCCATGAGGTCACGAAGAGTCAGAAAAAGGAAGAGGGGCCGACCAAGGACAAGGTGGATGGATGGGATCCTTAAAGTGACTGAATTGACCTTGAAGGAGCTGGGAGTGGTGATGGCTGACAGGGAGCTCTGGCGTGGGCTGGTCCATGAGGTCACAAAGAGTCGGAAAAAGGAAGAGGGGCCGACCAAGGACAAGGTGGATGGATCTTGGGTCTTGTTCCATGTTCACGTCTATGTCTAAGATCTTTGGGAAAGTCTTGTACTCATTCTTGAGCAGCTGAGGGGGGAAAGGAAAAGGCCAGAGGCTGTTAGGAATGGTGGGAGTTGAAGTCCAAAACACCTGCAGGGAGGGTCGAAGTTTGCCCAGGCCTGTTATATAAAGAAGCCTTTCTTCTGTGACCAAAACGAAACCCCACAGCCCGGTGAAGTCAGGAAGAACCCGGTATCAGTCCTCTACCAATATTGCCACAAGGTCTAGATCAGTGTTTCTCAACCTGGGGGTCGGGACCCCTGTGGGGGTCGCGAGGGGGTGTCAGAGGGGTCGCCAAAAACCATCAGAAAACATAGTATTTTCTGTTGGTCATGGGGGTTCTGTGTGGGAAGTTTGGTCCAATTCTGTCATTGGTGGGGTTCAGAATGCTATTTCATTGTGGGTGAACTATAAATCCCAACAACTACAACTCCCAAATGTCAGGTCTATTTTCCCCAAACTCCACCAGTGTTCACATTTGGGCATATTGAGTATTTGTGCCAAGTTTGATCCAGATCCATTATTGCTTGAGTCCACAGTATTCTCTGGATGTAGGTGAACTACAACTCCAAAAACTCAAGGCCAATGTCCACATATCTGTGTGCCAAGTTTGATTAAATTCCATCATTGGTGGAGTTCAGAAGGCTCTTTGATTTTAGGTGAACTATAAATCCCAGCAACTCCAACATTCCCAAATGACAAAATCAATCACTCCCATCCCACCAGTATTCAAATTTGGGCATATCAGGTATTTGGGATTTGAAAATACATCCTGCATATCAGATATTTACATTACGATTCATAACAGTAGCAAAATTACAGTTATGAAGTAGCAATAAAAATAATGTTATGTTTGGGGGTCACCACAACAGGAGGAACTCTACTAAGGGGTCACAGCATTAGGAAGGTTGAGAATCATAGAATCAAAGAGTTGGAAGAGACCTCCTGGGCCATCCAGTCCAACCCCATTCTGCCAAGAAGCAGGAATATTGCATTCAAATCACCCCTGACAGATGGCCATCCAGCCTCTGTTTAAAAGCTTCCAAAGAAGGAGCCTCCACCACACTCCGGGGCAGAGAGTTCCACTGCTGAACGGCTCTCACAGTCAGGAAGTTCTTCCGCATGTTCAGATGGAATCTCCTCTCTTGTAGTTTGAAGCCATTGTTCCGCGTCCTAGTCTCCAGGGAAGCAGAAAACAAGCTTGCTCCCTCCTCCCTGTGGCTTCCTCTCACATATTTATACATGGCTATCATATCTCCTCTCAGCCTTCTCTTCTTCAGGCTAAACATGCCCAGCTCCTTAAGCCTCTCCTCATAGGGCTTGTTCTTCAGACCTTTTATCATTTTAGTCGCCTCCTCTGGACACATTCCAGCTTGTCAATATCTCTCTTGAATTGTGGTGCCCAGAATTGGACACAATATTCCAGATGTGGTCTAACCAAAGCAGAATAGAGGGGTAGCATGACTTCCTTAGATCTAGACACGATGCTCCTATTGATGCAGGCCAAAATCCCATTGGCTTTTTTTGCCGCCACATCACATTGTTGGCTCATGTTTAACTTGTTGTCCACGAGGACTCCAAGATCTTTTTCACACTGGTCTAGATGGTCTCATGCAGTCCTTCACACAATTTTTTACTAGTTTTCTTCAAATGGAAAGGTTTGCCTTTGTAAGAATTGTATTTCTCCTCTGGATATCGCTGTGTCTCGTGCTCAATCTGTACAAGAAATCCAATGACAGGAGACAATTGCTGGATTGCTGATCTTTCTCTGAAGCTAATGCTCTCCTTCCTTGGGTTTCAGATGGTGAGCGTCAGCAATGACCTGATGCCTAAAATCATTGCCACGCTGGACGAAGATTCCAAAACGACTCGCTTGCTATCCTGTCAGATTATTGGCACGTTTTTGGACAGCTGTGGGAACCAGTTCGAACTCACCAAAATATATCCAGGTGTGTGATATAAGATGCTAACCCCAGCTTCTGCCAACCTAGCAGTTTGAAAATATGCAAATGTGAATAGATCAATACTACTTCTGCAGGAAGGTAATGGTGCTCAATGCAGTCATAGGACTACCCCCTCACCCGCCTCATAGGAAACCTGCTACAAAACAGGAGCTTTTTTGTTGAGTTCCAGGGCCAGAGAAGCAGATGGCGGAAACAGAACGGCCTGCCTCAGGGGAGCGTGCTTGCTCCATCCATGTTCAACATCTACACAAATGACCAGCCACTGCCAGAAGGGACAGAGAGCTTCATCTATGCTGATGATCGTGCCATTACTGCTCAAGCAGGGAGCTTTGAGATGGTTGAACAGAAGCTCTCCGAAGCTCTAGGTGCTCTTACTGCCTATTACAGGGAAAACCAGCTGATCCCTAATCCATCTAAAACACAGACATGCGCCTTTCACCTTAAGAACAGACAAGCACCCCGAGCTCTGAGGATTACCTGGGAAGGAATCCCAGTGGAGCATTGCAACACACCCAAATACCTGGAGTCACTCTGGACCGTGCTCTGACCTACAAGAAGCACTGCCTGAACATCAAGCAAAAAGTGGGTGCTAGAAACAATATCATACGAAAGCTGACTGGCACAACCTGGGGATCACAACCAGACACCGTGAAGACATCTGCCCTTGCGCTGTGCTACTCTGCTGCTGAGTATGCATGCCCAGTGTGGAACACATCTCACCACACTAAAACAGTGGATGTGGCTCTTAATGAGACATGCCGCACTCCAAGGGGCCAGATACTGGTCAAAGGGCATTTAATCAACTACCAAGCTTGCAAATATGATTATGGTAATGATGGTTATTATTATGATTATTAATAATAATAATAATTAATAATAATATAATACTAGTAATAAAAATAATACAATATCATAATTATATATTTATATTACATGTAATATTATTAACAATATTACGATATAATGGTATAGTGCAATATGGTAATGTATAATACTGATATTGTGCTATGCCAATAATATAATATATTGTATGAAAATATATCTTGCAAGCCGCTCTGAGTCCCCTTTGGGGAGAGAAGGGCGGCATATAAATGCCGTAAATAAATAAATAAGTAAATAACAACAACAACAACACTTTATTTATATTCCGGCCTTCTCCCCAAGGGAACTCAGAGTGGATTACAGCATATAAACAGACACAGGCAAACATTCAATTCCTTGTTCCAATGATATACAATGAGATGCAAATACACAGACAAAGGCAAAGGCCTCTCCTCTCATTTCCGGCTTCTGGAGGTGGTGCTCATCTCTGACTCTGGGGGAGGTACTCTTCTCCATTTCCAAGCCAAGGAGCCCGCGTTGTCCAAAGACACCTTCTATGTCATGTAGTCTGCATGGCTGTTTTTTGCCTTTTCTCGTCGAAGCGGTGCCTATTGATTGACTCACATTTGCATGTTTTTGAACTGCTAGGTCAGCAGGAGCTCACCCCATCCTGTGGATTCAAACTGCCAACCTTCAGCTCAGCAGCACAAGGGGGGTGGATTTCTCTTCTGAGAGAGATTCCTCTCACTTTCTGTTCTCTCACCTCCGTTCTTAAGTAGGAGTCATTTGTAAGTTGGATGTTTGTAACTCAGGAACTGCCTGTATATAGATTTCAGAAGGGTCTGAAAGTTAAGAACGTTCAGAGCAGGCGTTCCAATAATTAGTGCAATGATTGGTTAATGAACACTGGAATGGAACAATGGATGACGAATCTGGAACATGTTTTTGATGACGAGACGACAGTGAATGGGTCGTGTAATGTGTAATGTGTTAGGTTGTTAACTGTTTCTATACTGTAGCACTGAATTTTTGCTGTTCGTATTTGTTGTGAACCGCTGTGAGTCGCCTTCGGGCTGAGAACAGTGGTATAGAAGTAAGGTAAATAAATAATAATAAATAAGAACTATAAAGGTCCTATGGATTTATTATTCGCAGTATCATGTGTTCCGTTCATTCCCGTTTCCCGTACTGTTGACAACGTTGCCTCTTTTCTAGAACTCTTAAGCCGATTGGAAGATCGGTCGCTTGATGTCCGCCTGGCTGCAGCTAAAGCCTTGACGAGTTGGTTCAGGTGTATCAATGACGACGAGAAGAAAGCCCTGTTGAAAGACAATATTCGGTTTGTGTACGAGACGCTTCTGATTCACCTGGACGACCCTGACCATAACATCCAATCCGCTGTCTTGGGTAAGTCATTCAGAAAGTTATTCCTCTAAGAAAGTTGACTCTAAGTACTTTTATTCTCTGAGAAGCAGAAGCAACAGCCCCTGTGGCATCGCAGCGTGAAAACTGGGGGTCTTTATAGCAAAATAACATGGTTACACTATTTAGAAGAACAGTTTGTTTGTTTGTTTGTTTGTTTACGAAGGCGACTTAAGGCATTGGAAAGGTTTCCATAACACAAATAAAGTTCTTTATACTTCCTTCTTTGCTTCCACGCTGGGCTTCTTTCTTATACAAATAAACAGCTTCACTCTCACAGAGCCTCTTCACACACCGAATTTACGAAGGCAAGTTAAGGCGGTGGAAAGGTTTTCATAACACAAATAAAGTTTTTATACTTCCTTCTTTGCTTCCACGCTGGGCTTCTTAAAAGATAAACAGCTTCGCTCTCACAGAGCCTCTTCACAGACCAAACTTACACAGGAACTTAAAACAGTAGCTTTTTACACAGCTTTACACACAAGGCCTTCAACAAGCTTCTCACACCAGTCTTTCTTACACTCAGCCTTCTCACAGACTAAGGCCTGTCTCACACTGAAGCTTCTCTCACAGACTAAGGCCTACCTCACACTGTGAGCCTTCTCTCACATACTAAGGCCTACCTCACACTGTGAGACCTTCTCTCACAGACTAAGGCCTACCTCACACTGTAAGCCTTCTCTCACAGACTAAGGCCTACATCACACTGTGAGCCTTCTCTTACAGACCAAGGCCTACCTCACACTGTGAGCCTTCTCTCACAAACTAAGGCCTACCTCACAGACTAAGGCCTACCTCACACTGAAGTCTTCTCTCACAGACTAAGATCCATCTCACACTGTGAAGCCTTCTCTCACAGACTAAGGCCTACCTCACGCTGTGAAGACTTCTCTCACAGACTAAGTCCTACCTAACACTGTGAAGCCGCCTCTTGCAGACTAAGGCCTATCTCACACGATGAAGCCTTCTCTCACAGATTAAGGCCTACCTCACACTGTGAAGTCTTCTCTCACAGACTAAGGCCTACCTCACGCTGTGAAGACTTCTCTCGCAGACCTGCCTCACATTGTGAAGGCTTCTCTCACAAACTAAGGCTTATCTCACACTGAAGCTTCTCTCACAGACTAAGGCTTACCTCACACTGTGAGCCTTCTCTCACAGACCAAGGCCTATCTCACACTGAAGCCTGCTCTCACAGACTAAGGCCTACCTCACACTGTAAGACCTTCTCTCACAGACTAAGGCCTACCTCACACTGTGAAGGCTTCTCTCACAAACTAAGGCGTATCTCACATTATGAAGCCTTCTCACAGATTGAGACCTTTCTCCCACTGAGGTTTACCTCAGACCGATGACTACTAAGCTACAGGCACGCCTGCTTATATAGAACTGCTTATATAGATCTGCAACCCTTTCCTCCTGAATTTTAGTAGAGGAAGCAGATCCTTGGGATGACTACATGCTTCAAATTTGCCTTAATAAGTATGTGGGGTGGGTTAGATTAATCTACAAAATGGAATCCAAACAGATGCTTTAGATCAGACATTTGTGTGTATATGTTTGTGTGTGTGTAGTTAGAGCAGGCATGGGCCAACTTTGGCCCGCTTAAGTGGCTGAGGGGAAAAAGGAAAGGGCCCGAGGCTGTTAGGAATGGTGGGAGTTGGAGTCCTGGAGGGAGGGAGGACAGAAGCTTATTTATTTATTTATTTATATACAATATTTAATATTCCACCCTTCTCCTCACCCACGGGGACTCAGAGCGGATTACGATGCACATATACGTGGCATACATTCAGTGCCATAGACATACAACATATATAGACAAGACACAGAGGCAATTTCACATTACAGCTTTTCTGGCTTCATGAGGGTATGCTTGATTGCAGCCACAGGGGGAGCTGTTGCCTCACCGTCAACTTGTGAGACTGTCTTGATGGAGTACTTCCTCAATCCTCTGCATGCCGCTGGAGATTTTTATGGCATTGTAAATTAGTTAAATTAGCCTCCCCACATAAAGCGATACCTACATTTCCTACTTAGAATCATAGAATCAAAGAGTTGGAAGAGACCTCCTGGGCCATCATCCAGTCCAACCCCATTCTGCCAAGAAGGAGGAACATTGCATTCAAATCACCCCTGACAGATGGCCATCCAGCCTCTGTTTAAAAGCTTCCAAAGAAGGAGCCTCCACCACACTCCGGCAGAGAGTTCCACTGCTGAACGGCTCTCACAGTCAGGAAGTTCTTCCTCATGTTCAGATGGAATCTCCTTGTAGTTTGAAGCCATTGTTTCCCATCCTAGTCTCCAGGGAAGCAGAAAACAAGCTTGTTCCCTCCTCTCTGTGGCTTCCTTTCACATATTTATACATGGCTATCATATCTCCTCTCAGCCTTCTCTTCTTCAGGCTAAACATGCCCAGCTCCTTAAGCCGCTCCTCATAGGGCTTGTTCTCCAGACCCTTGATCATTTTAGGTGCCCTCCTCTGGACACATTCCAGCTTGTCAATATCTCTCTTGAATTGTGGTGCCCAGAATTGGACACAATATTCCAGGTGTGGTCTAACCAAAGCAGAATAGAGGGGTAGCATTACTTCCCTGGATCTAGACACTATGCTCCTATTGATGCAGGCCAAAATCCCATTGGCTTTTTTTGCCACCACATCACATTGTTGGCTCATGTTTAACTTGTTGTCCACGAGGACTCCAAGATCCTTTTCACACATACTGCTCTCGAGCCAGGCATTGTCCCCCATACTTGTCTTTTGGGCAGCATAGGTCAACAGCAAGCTAGACTATTAATGGTCGGAAGCTCACTCTGACCCAGGCTGGCTTCGACTCACAACCTCACGGTCAGTAGTGATTTAATGCAGCTAGCTAATAACTAACTGGCCGACAGCCCGGCTGACTACTAACTAGCTATGCCACAGTTGGCCCATGCCTGCATTATAACCTGCTAAGAAGTCCAGTGGGGAGCGCTTCCCTTGCACTTCCCTCAAATTATGTGAATTGTTGGCATTCTGGAATTGTTATGGATGACATGACGTGGTGTCTCCCATCGGTTGTTTTGTCACAGAATGAAAAACACAAAACAGGCAGCTTTTGGAACTCCAGAAACTTTGTGTGTGTTTTGCAGATACTTTGAAAGAAGGGGGCCTCTTGTACCCGGACGCGTTGGCGAAAGAAATCGAAGCCGTGGTGCACAAGCACCGCACGCCAACCTTCTGCGATCAGCTGCTGTTCCACCTTGAATCGACCGGATGGAGATACTCCGAGTCATAAATGCCTTACTGTTGTCCTCTCATGCCGCCGTAGTAGTGGGACGCTTCAATAAACGGTGACGTTAAAAAGCTGGTGCTCTTTCGAAATTCAGCTCATTTTCTAAATAAAGTTTTGTTGTTGTTATTATTATTATTATTAATAATATTATATAAAATATGTTTTTATAAATCTAAGAAACTAACTATTTTAAAGTGTGTTTTTTTGAAAAATAGAAAATGCGTGGAAGACTTTTTAATCTGTTCCACTGTATTTATTGCCATGAGTCCCTATATTGCAGGCATGGGCCAACTTTGGCCCTCCCTCCAGGTGTTTTGGATCCCAACTCCCACAATTCCCGATTGTCAGGCTCAATGTATATGTCTTCTGTGATTCAGGTTTTTGTGATTCAGTCAAAAGTGCAGAGATAAGCTTTGGTAGTTCAGAGGACCTCACAACCTCTGAGGATGCTTGCCATAGATGCAGGCGAAACGTCAGGAGAGAATGCCTCTAGAACAGCGGTCGGGAACCTATGGCTCTCCAGGTGTGGTGGACTTCAACTCCCGCAATGCCTTGAGGCTCGGCACTAGCGGGCGGGGCCGAAGCGGCGAGGAGGCGCGTTGCCCGCAGGGGTTTCCGCCCGCTCTCTCCCTCCGAGGCCAGCCTTTGCTGCCCGTCCTCCATGAAAAAAGCCTCTTTATTTATACCCCGCTCCATCACGCCCATCAGTACAGTACACACATTATAAAACAAACCACATAACAATACCTGGAGATAAAATACATAAAATGCGAAAATCAATATAATAAGCGGTCAACAGTATAAAAACAAACAATTAAAAACAAAAGATTTCACTGGGCAGGGACACATTCAAGGATAAAATTTTAAAACACTGGGAGATGGGACAATGTAAAATTATCAGGATACGGATCCGAGTGAGGAAGGATTTAATTGCACGAGCCATCAATAAAGTGCTTCTAAGGACATTTTGTGCAAAGTTTGGTCGGGAGTATCTAACATTCAGTCACTGAAGGCACAATGGAATAACCAGGTTTTCAGATTCCTCCTGAATATTGCCAGCATAGGGGCTTGCCTAATCTCTCTGGGGATGTTCCAGAGCCGGGGGGCCACCACAGAGAAGGCCCTCTCTCTCGTCCCCGCAAGTCGCACTTGAGATGTGGGCGGGAGCGAGAGAAGAGCCTTTCCGGAAGATCAAAGAGATCGTGTGGGTTCGTAGATGGAAATGCGGTCGCACAGGTAGGTGGGCCCCAAACCGTTCAGGACTTTGTAGATCAAAACCTGCACCTTGAATTGGGACCGGAAGATAAACGGCAGCCAGTGGAGCTCCTTAAACAGGAGGGTTGACAGCTCTTTGTAGTTCGCTTGCTACCCGTTGGACCAATTGAAGTTTCCCGGCTGTCTTCAAGGGCAACCCCATGTAGAGCAGATTGCAATAGTCCAATCTAGAGGTAACTAAAGTGTGGACCACCGTGGCCAAAACAGATTTCACGAGGTACAGTTGCAGCTGGCGCACGAGCTTCAATTGTGCGAAGGCCCTCCCAGCCACCGCTGACGCCTGAGCTTCAAGCGTCAGCGCTGAATCTAGGAGGATACCCAAGCTGCAGACCTGCGATTTCAGGGGGAGTGCAACCCCATCCAGCACAGGTTGCCACCCTATACCCCGATCCGACCCACCATTCCTAACAGCCTTGGGTCCCTTTCTTTCCCTTTTCCCTTTCCACTTAAGTGCCTGAAAGGGGGAAAGGAAGGGGCCTGAGACTGTTAGGAATGGTGGGAATTGAAGTCCAAAACACCTGGAGGGCCAAAGTTGGCTCAGGCCTGCATTAAGGTGTTGAGCAGAAGAAGGATGGAACCTTGCAAGAAAAACCAGCCCCAAAATGACATGTCGGTCAGGCGGAGGTCTTCCTTGCACATTGCAGTGCCCTTTGTTGACCTCCCTAACTCACCACATTGGGTCCCCTTCCACCCATCTGAATAAAATCCCACATTATTTGAACTGGAATATATGTCGGTGTGGACTCAGATAACTCCGTTCAAAGCAGATAGTGTGGGACTTTCTGCCTTGACCTTCGGGGTTGTATAGCTGTGTGGAAGGGCCCTGGAGCTCTTTGTGTGAGGGATTATTGCAAGAAATCCAAGTCTCCCATCTCCACTGACATATAATCCAGATTATTAAAGATGATCTGCTTTGAACTGGATTATATGAGTCGACATTGCCATATAATCCAGAGCAGATATAGAAGTGTGGAAGGGGCCTCATAATCCAGTTGAAAGCAGATCATCTGGATTGTCTGCTTTGATAATCTGGATTATATGGCAGTGTAGAAGTGAAATCGAGGAGGAATTTAAAAGGGTCTGGCCCTGAAGGAGAGACCCTGCAGACCCACCAAAGAGGGCTCGCTACAATGGTGAGAAAAGAGAAGCTGCAATTTAAAAGATTTCCCTAAGTTCCCAAAAGAATCTCACCAAAGTTGAAGGAAGCGCCACCGAGTTGATTTTATTGTGATCCACCTGGAAAGGATGCAAAGCAGCAATATTTCACCAAGCTGAGCATAACATGTGCACAAATAAAAGCCTTTTTTATACAGAAACAGAGTTGTCAGATTTGAATTTCCCGTTCCCTGCCCCTCTGCCGGCTTGATGGTGATTGGCTGGTGCCTCTATAGCTGGGAGGAGGCTTGGACACCTCCTGAGTGCCTGGGCCAATCACTGGGCTTCTGGCGCCTCGGCATCCTGACGAATCAGGAGAGAAGGAGGCGGGACGAGGGGGAAACAATGCATTCTTGAGTGGATTATGGAGATATGAAATGTCCAAGCAATCAGTGAGTCCTGGGGGGGGGGGGGGCTGCGAGCCAGCCATTTCTCTTGTCTTTAAATGGTTGCAATCAACGTTGATGTCTGGCAAGCCTGCCAGATCCAGATTTTCTTGGTGCTGAGATATAGAAACAATGGGGGAATTTGGGCTGAAGTTTTCAGTGGAGGAAGAGCTGAATGAGTAACAGATAGGACAGAGTGGCTTTCCGAAGGCCTCCTTTGTCCTATTGAGATAGGATCATTAATGCCAAGCGACCGCCTCCCCTGGGGGGACCAACTCCGAGACCCAAAGGTCACGATCCTTTGTTATTGTCCATGCAAAAAGTGTCTTTTGATAAGGGTTTTTTTTTCAACTGAGGATTTCCTTCTTTCCAGGGTCACAGAGGGTGGCTCCTTATATAGAAAACATACCCACTTATCCCTCCCACCAGAGTCCCATAGAAGTTCAAGATAAGTGTAAAAGGAGGTGGTTTCTCAGTAATAAATGTGCTACCTTCTACTATATATGAAACACAAGGCATAAAACCTTGATTAAATGTACACACTATCTAACATGGGAAGGGTCCTTGTTGTTGTTGTTAGTGTCTTGGCAAATTGACCAAGGCTTAACCCTTATTATCCAGTCTGGTGTCCTTGTCCTTAGCAAAACTATAAGTTACTATCTTTTATGGGGGGGGGGGGGTCATGTTCGACTTCAATAGTGTGTGATTTTCTGCCTTGACCTTCGGGGTTGTATAGCTGTGTGGAAGGGTCCTGGAGCTATTTGTGTGAGGGATTATTGCCAGGAGCCCAAGTCTCCATTGCCATATAATCCAGATTATTAAAGATGATCTGGTTTGAACTGGGTTATATGAGTTGACATTGCCATATAATCCACTTCAGAGCAGATATAGAAGTGTAGAAGGGGCCTCATATAGTCCAGTTGAAAGCAGATCATCTGGATCGTCTGCTTTGATAATCTGGATTATAAGGTAGTGTAGAAAGGGCCTTATTTTGTATTTCCGTGGAAATAATACTGCTTTGTGCCTTAGATATTTCCAGCCTGATCCAGCAGCTGGAAAGTTGTAAACAACTCGGAATCTGCATTTGTTACTATTTTTCAGGTAAATCTTACGAAGATGTGTGTTTTTTGCAATGGAGCCTGCTGGAAATGTTTGTTTTCGCATCCTAAAGTGCCGACTTCACAATAAACTGTATTTTTGATATCGAGCAAGAATTTAGGGGTCTTTGCCAGGAGGCAGAAACCAATCAGACTCATTAAAGAGTTCATTGCCCTGGTGAAACAGAAAGAAGCACCCAATATTTTTCCCTGATTTTTCACCAAGATAAAGAAAGGCCACCAAGTTGTTTATCGCGATCCAGCTGGAAAGGATGTCATACCGCAATCATTCGTCAAGCAGACATGCATTGAATACAAAATAAACCTTTTTTTACAAATACAGAGCTGTCAGATTTGAATTTCCCGCTCCCCGCCCCTCAGTCGGCTTGGCGCTGATTGGTCAGCGCTCTACAGCTGGGAGGAGGCTTGGCCGCCTCCTGAGTGCCTTAACCAATCGGTGAGCTCACGCCGCTTTGACCTCCTAGCCAATCAGGAGAGAGGGAGGCGGGATGAGAGGGAAACAATGAGAACTTGAGTGGATTATGGAAATATGTGATGTCCATAACTAATTATAACTAATTATAACTAGTTAAAACAATCAAATTAATACAATAGCAGCAATAAAATCATCTTGTGGTCAATGTTCGCCAATTCATAAATCCATAATCCATCCAGCATTGTCATTGTCCTTTCCTACTCTGGTCACCATTGTCTTTTATCCATCTGCCAGCTTACCCAAAGGCCTGGTCCCATATCCAGGTCTTTAGCTTCCTTCTGAAAGAGAGGAGGGATGTTGATGACCTAATTTCCCCAGGGAGTGCATTCCACAGGCGAGGGGCTACCACCGAGAAGGCCCTGTCCCTCGTCCCCACCAGTCTCACTTGTGATAGAGGTGCAGCCGAGAGCAGGGCCTCCCCAGAGGATCTTAAACTCCGAGGGGGGACGTAGAAGAAGATCCGTTCAGACAGGTACGCTGGGCCGGAGCTGTATAGGGTTTTGTAGGTTAAAACCAGCACTTTGAATTGTGCTCGGAACTTGAACTTTGGGAATGCTTGTGAAGCCAACTCAGACTTTAGGGGGGTCAACTCCAAGGAGAGATGACCCTTAGTTCCCACCAAAGAGGGAACGCTACCTTGGCAAGCCTTCAGGGAAGCCTGATTCCAGCAATTTTATTGATATTAATAATTGAAGTGAGACTCTTGCCAAGGCGAAGAAGTGGCACCGAG